TCACTTTTATTTCTAGGCATTTTTCCTTTGTTTTCCGTGAGCCGCCGCGCCGCTGCGTGTTGTGCGAGTTTTCTTTGCTCTTTATTTTCTTTTTCTTTTTATAATATTATTTTTTTTTCCTCGGGTTCGGGTTGAGGGCGAGCACCTGCCCGGCTATCTTTAGTTTTTTTTCACCTGGTTTTTGGTCCACGCTGTAATTAAGATTGTTCGCTGGCCTAAGTGACGCCAATTAAGTTACGACTGACCAGCGGCCCTGCTGGGCTTTTGACTCTTAACAGCGTCTCTTTATTTATCTATTATTTTACATGCATTTTTCCCACTCGCCTCTCGTTATGCAAGTTCTGGCAATTGGATTAACGGGGGAAATCTGGACACCTACCAGGTAGCTGTGCTGTTTGGGAAACGGAAGGAAAAACCCATCATCTGGGCCAGCTTCTCTCTGGCCGAAATTGAATAAAGCCTGACACTCGGCGTGAAGTGAAATTGCCACTGAAATATACTATATATGTATATGTATACCCTAAGCGCGATTTCTTCTACCATAAAGCTGGCCATAATGAGATAGAGATAATATTTTAATTATAATTAAGTGTGCCGCAGATAATATTGTCTTGACCCGGCTCGTTAATTGCCAGATATTTGTGCATGTAACACATGGCGTATGCGTAATCTCTTAATCACATATCGCACATAAATCTCATAACTGCTCTCGTTTATTATACAATTTGCGATCGGAAAACAGTCTTCGCGGGGTAAATGTAAATTTCCGATTGACTGCGATTTGCATAAATGCGATTTCCCTTTTTCCCAGAAATGTACTTTCCCAAAATCTAAACGGAAGGAAGCAAGTGAGTTGGCAAATTTTAATAAGGGAAATCGCAGATGAAATATCATTTTTAACTCCCACACTTGTTCAAAGATCAAAGAAACCGAAATCAATCTAACAAAAAGCAATGCTGGGGTCTTGAGACTTGAGACTTTCAAGAAAACCCTAAAGATATTTTGTAATAAAAACTTAAGTTTTTTTATGGCTATAGAGAGATGTCTTATAAAAAAAAAACAAATAAAATTATTTATATATTTATTAATAATAAATAAATTAAATATAATCTTATTAAAATTACTTTAATATCCTAAAACCTGAAGAATAAAATAATTTTAACATGAAATATTCTATTTTGAAAAGGAATTCAACAATAATTTTCTAGAAAAGAATATATAAACTTTAATGTGAACTTAATTATATAGTTAATTTCTTAAAAATTACTAAAAAGCCTTTGAAAAAAATCCATAATTTTAGCTAAACCTCTAAATATTATAATTAATCAATAGATTTTAAAAATAAAACACATTTTAAGCCCTAGTTTGACTTGATAATTCCCCCAATAACATAACAATTTATAACAAGACTTGGACATTTGTCATTAAAAAAGAAAATTTCCCGGAAAAACCTATATAATTATGCCATGTAATATTTAATATTTAAGGCATATTAAGCATTATACAACACTTAACACGAATGGCAAGCTACTTTACGGCTTTAGTGAGTGCAAATTGGATCGTTTTTCGATTGCCAATGGAGCTCTCTGCGGCTTCCTTCTCCTGAGAAAAAGGCTGGCAAATGCACTTGGCGTGAATTTAGCAATTACATGAATTACCGCCGCCCCCTTTCCGCCCATCCATTTCACGCCCAGCTGGCCGTTTCTTTCTAGTTAAAGCGTTGACAGAGTTGGCTTTGGTGAATTAAGGTGCCATCATTATTGGAGGCGACGCAGGGGCTTATGCAACGTTCGGTGTGCGTCTGCCGGGAAGCGCATTAAGCAGTCATTGACACCTCAGATTACCCCCAATGGCCCCCTGCCCTGGACACACAGCGAGATAAAGTATTCCTCAAAATGTTGCATTAAATAAGGATTCAAAATTTGAAGAGCTAAGATCTTTTATAAAATTATTTTTTCTTTTATATAGAAAATATGTATGTAAAATTGTTACATCTTAAAATAATTACTTGTAGCTGAAGTATAGAGATGAGGTTTCTAAGAATATTGTTCCTAATTCCTTCATTATTCTACAAATCTTTAAGGTATTAGGTTCTTAGTTTTAAGGTAAGATAAATATTTCATATAATTTACTCTATCTGAATCATAAATCTAACTTGGAGGCGAGCACAAGAAAATGTTGCTTAGAAAATGTTGCTAATAAAATGTTGCTAAGAAAATGTAGCTAGACACAAGTTGAGCAACAGCCGGATGTTGCAGCAACTTTAATTAGCTCTTTATTTGATTTCTTTTTAAAGAAACAAATAAATTAATAAAATAATAGATAAAATTATAAAATAAATATTTAAATAATATTTTTTCTAATATATATTTTCCTCGCTGTGTATGCTTAACCCACGCAGACAGCCCGTCTGCTCCAGTGGTCACCACAACCATGCTTGGCTGCTTATTGGTTTTTATGATGCATGGCACACAAAAAAGTGCTAAAAAATCACAATAATTTAAAACTGAAAATAACAAAGACACATGGAATCCAAAATCAAGAAATAATCATAAAAAAGGCGGACGAGAGAGTGCCGCCTCATAAAATGCAATTCAACAATTACACAATGGGAATGGCCGATACATATGGATATTACCATATGTATATATATTTTTTGGGGGTGCCTAAAGACAATACACAACATTTTTGGGGGGCTGTTACAATTACGTGTGCCGAGTACCGAGTACCGACTACCGATCCAAATTCGTTATGCATCTCGCGTGGAAAACAATAGCAAAAACGCCACGAAAAACACTCGCACTCTCTTTCAATTTTCGATTTCAATTACAATGCGAGTACGGCAATTACAATTGAAATGCACTCGACGCACCTGTTACGCGTGTTGCCTGAACCGAACTGCCCCAGCCGAGCCACCACCCCAATGGCAATGGCCATGTCCGATGTGTAATACACTTAGGCGTAATGTTTTCTGGCTCTTACATAACCCCGATTGCTGCTGCTGCCATCGATCTGTCGTGATCGGCATTTCAGAGTTACAAAAAACAAACTAAAAAGCCCAAAGGTAAAGCCCGAGTTTACAGATCCATCAGATCATCCCATGATAAGGGGATATTCCTGCCACAGGTACAGAGAAAATATTTCAAGACAATTATAAATAGTTTAGTTATCTAAAAATTAATTGAAATTGCTTCTTTTGGGTGTTTGTTATTATTATTATTTGTATATTTAATTCTTATTCAGATATATATCGAAAGAAAAACGTTTGTATTAAATATTCGAATAAATCTTGTGTTAGATATAAAACAAATTTTATTTAAGAGCATGCATTAAAGCACTTTTTAATATATTTTTATTTATTTTATTATATTTTTTATTTACATATATATTTATTTATATTTATTTATTTATATTTATTTATATTTATTTATATTTATTTATATTTATTTATATTTATTTATATTTACTTATATTTATTTAAATTTATTTATATTTATTTATATTTATTTATATTTATTAATATTTATTTATATTTATTTATATTTATTTATATTTAATCATATTTATATTCCCATTTTTCCGAGTGCATAATAACCATTTAGAGCCATGGGAAAGGGCAGCCACTCAATGAATCAATATTTTTAGTGGAGCACCGGCCTCACGATCGCTGGGGGATCACAATTTGGCAACTCAATGAACCCGGCCAGAGATCGGGCTTAACAGATTGATTAATTGGATATTTTGTCTTCATCACAGATCAATTTGGGGGAGTTGGTAATGGATATGCAAAGACTAAAGCCATCAAAGCTAATTGGAGGTTGGTTTTTTTTTATATTTGCCCAGCAGCAATTATTGCCAAAAAATATTAAAAATAATAAATAATATATTAAAAATAATAAATAATATATTAAAAATAATAAATAATATATTGAAAATAATAAATTATATTTTAAAAATAATAAATAATATATTATATATATTAAATAATATCATAAATATTAAAAATATTGTTTTTGGCCAAAGTCACGCCTTTGATTTTTATAAAATCGAAGAACTTTACAAATTCTTATTAAAAAATATATTTAAATATTGTTAAAAGCCAAGCTCTTTAAGGGATAATTAATTAATAATTAAAAGAAATATATATTTTTTTCTGTATGAAGATGTGGTCTGATTAAAAGCTTTAAAGTTTTGTTAGCAATAAAAATTCAAATAATAATAGTTAACAAAAGATATATGTGAATTTTCTAATTTTTTTTTACTAAATTCATAAAAAATTAAAAATGTTTTAATTTATTTACCTTTACCTAGGGTCTTAATGCTCATTTTAATAATAAATAAATAATAATAATAAATAAATAAATAAGAATAATAAAGAAATGTTATAAGTTCTTGGAATGAATATCTTATTTATTATTATTTTCATATATTTTCATTAATTTATTTTACTTTATTTATTTTTTATTTATTCATTCATTTATCTATATTATTTTATTTATTTATTTTAAAATTAACTTAATAATCTTACTTCTTAAATTCTTCTAATTTCTCCCAAGATCATTAAATATTTGTGCAACATATATCCAGAAAAAAGGAGAGTTATTCCTATTTTTAATCAAGATATAGAAACTCTTTTTATATCTACTGAATTATTAAAACCTATAGCTTTTATTTTAATAATGAATAATAATTTAGCTAAGCCGGCTAAAGCCAGTTGGGTTTGTGAAAATCCACACATTTCTAACTAGCTAACTGAGCTATCTGGGCTGATTTCCCTTTCCATTGTTCTCTCTGGGCTCCCATCGAAAGTGCTAGACATATATACATATATATACATACATATACACATATATATGCATACTATATAGCCAAAAACAAGCCATAAAAAATTCTAAAACGCTCTGGTTCCCTTGCTGCAAAACCTGACCTACGGCGCTCATAAACCCAATTTCAAGGTGTGAAGAGCGATGAAGAGTTCTTGGTAATTCGAAGAGACTTACCATTTTCTGGTGTGTCATTTCCCGGGAAAACTCAGGGTGTGTGTGCACCCTGATGACCGATGCTGTGCGATGATCGATTCCTCGATCTCTGGACCTCCTCAGGCAGGTAAGACTGTCACTACCTGAAATTCTTTAGAATCCCGAAGATCAACAACACTTGTGGTCAGCACTCGAACAAAAACGAAATAAAAGATATGATTGTGATGTGGGGATTTTAGGCACTCTTTTCTTTACTTTTTTTATATATAAATTTTATTTTATTTTTGTATTATTTTTTGTCACTGCTCGTTTTCACTTTTATGGCTCCGACTGGGATGATGCTGCACACACTGCTCGCAAAAAATATATATCTCTGGATCGCGCGACTGCCAAGCGGTCCGACGAATATATCTGTATCTTTATATCTGAATCTCTGACTGCACATGCGCGCAGGCGCCCACGAACTGAGCGCTGGTTGTGGAAAATGCGGCAGGTAAGGCGGTCGCTTGTCGGTCTCTGGCCTCCGGAGAGAGTGTTGCTGGCGAGTGTAACTATGTTACTCTGAAGAGTCGGAGAAACGGAGAAGAGTCTGGGTCTGTGCTTGGGTTTCGGTCTGAGTCTGGGAAGAGAGAGTGGCCTGGTCGTGGGGCTATAGTGGCTACGTGAGCGGCATTCGCTCAAAGGCAACATGCAAAATGTTGCAAATATCTGTGACAATGAGGCAGCAACGCAGATGAGCTAAGACCAAGTTGCAGCTTTGGCCTAGGCAGATCAAGATGAAGCCTGCGGGGCACACGGCTTCCTTGCAACATCTTTTTAGGAGAAATTGGGAAATTGGCAAGCTTGAAGATTTCTGAAGTCTACTCTTGATGTACTATCTTGAAGTACTATCTTTGTATCTTAAATTCTTCTATTTTAGTAAATTAAATTTTTCTATTTTAGTATCTTAAGTTCTTCTATCTTAGTATCTTTTATTCTTCTATCTTAGTATCTTAAAGTCTTCTATCTAAGTATCTTTTATATTTCTATCTTAGTAACTTGGTACCTTAAATTCTTCAATCTTAGTATCTTAAATTCTTATATCTTAGTATCTTTTATTCTTCTATCTTAGTAACTGAGTATCTTAAATTTTTGTATCTTAGTATCTTAAATTCTTCTATCTTAATATCTCAAAGTCTTCTATCTTAGTATCTTTTATTCTTCTATCTTAGTATCTTAAATATTATATATTTCAAGCATTTTTTAAACTATTTTAAAATTTCCAGCAAAAGTATTTTAAGATTCATATGAAAGATTTTAAATAAAATAAATAACAAATCAAGCTTCAATATGTTACTAACAAAATATATATATATGTATATATATATATATATATTAAGTGATTCTTTGGTTATAATTAAAAAAAATGTAAATATTATTTAAAGAGGCCTAGTTAGTGATCATAAAATGTAGGTTTTATAGCGTCAACTTGCAGTCAGAGGGCAAAAACTGAGTAATAAAAAAGAAACAAAAAGTTCAATACTAGAGTTAAAATTATTCAACACTTGCTAGTCTTAATTAGTTGCATAAAGCACTTAAAAATTATTGTATTAATAAGGTTTTGACATAAATAAATAGCTTGCATAATTAATATAAATGAACTAAAAAAATAATGAAATAATTGCTGGCACAATTAATATTATTTTACTTAAATGTTAGTGTATTAATGGGTTGAACAGTTATTATTTATATATTATTTATATAATATATATATTATTTATATTAAATTAAAATAAATATTTATTTCTATGACTATAAATATTAATTATTTACACAATTGATTATATTTCAATCTTCCAATTAAAACAAATGTACAAATTATTACTTTAATAGGTTTACAGGTATATTTATATATTATAATTATAGATATTTGTATACTTTTATATTCAATAAACCTACCTTATTTTCCCTGGAACTTTCCAGCCACCTTTATTGTCCCCCCTGGATACCCTTCTTTCACCTGGCAACTCATTGGCCGCAGATTTCCTCAATTACGCCAGAGGAGTAGGCAATCGATGGAGGGATTAGGCCCATCCCAGACCCTACTAGGTTGACAATTTTCTCAATTTCCAAATCATCATCACTATTACGCCGCCGTTTAGTTGCCCAACTTCAGCTGGCCAGCTTCCTAGTGAAGCTGCCACACATAATCTTAATGGGCCACAAACCCATCTCCATCTCCATCTCCACCATCTCCATCCAAGCATCGCATAATTGTTGTACAACATTTAAATGTGATCTCGGCTGGCATAAGATAAACGGAATTAACGAAATAATAAAACAGAAACGGAGAAAAATCAGAAGACGACGTGCAAATGTGCAGGTGACATAACAAGTGCGCATTGTCATCACTCTAAAAGATACAATTGTATCTGGCCATTTATCTCGGGCGGTACGGGGTCCCAAAAAAAAAGCCCAAAAATTCAAATTCGAAACCCAGGAACACCCAAAACAAATAAAAGCAGCAAAAATGTTCGCACGCAAGTGTTTGTCCCCCCAGAGTTTGCACAAATGAAAGTGGTCAACAAGAGCGATCCACTGTTCGCACTGCAGAATGGCCCAGGCCAGGTCCATGGTGACCCCGATATACCGCCAGCTACACTGTGCGAAAGTAAAAGTGCAGCAAGTCAATATTTGCAGTAAATATTTGAGGGAAGCGAACCAAAACAATCTTAAGTAATCATAGACTTATCGATGTTGCCATAAGACGGAGAAGAGGCAGGGCTCAACACAAATTACCTTTAAGGAGGCAGAAAATATGGATATAGATAAAATATATTAAATATAGAAAAATGAAAAAGAGGAAAATAAATACAATAACCCTTTTCAGATATTTTTAAAAATTAAATTGAAACTTTTACGATAAATTAGATATATTTCTCTATATACAAAACTTCAATATATTCTATATTTTATTTAAGCACTTGCAAGGCTTTATTATTTTAGTCAGCAGCTTGAAAGGCAATCAAGGAAGGTCTCCATAAATCATATATAATATATTCTTGATAAGCAACAACAGCCAAATAGATCTAGCCATGTCCGGCATAAAAAAACATTTTACACTTTTTATTTTTATTTTGATAATATATTATTGTCAAAATTGTCAAAAATGTGATAATATTTTAATTTTTCTTAATTTAAACACATACATGTTTTTAGATTTAAAATAAGGCATTATTAGTTATGATATTTTTAAACTTTAATTTTATGTTGTGTATTTATTTAGTTGTATTGATTTTTATTTATTTTTCTTGATGTTTTGATATCTTTTTATTGTTTATTAAATATAAAAAAAAAATTGTAAAAAACAAAATCAAATAATTTTATATTTGTTTTATTTATTTTTATTTGTTTTACAATTTTTTTTAATTTATTATTTTGATTTATTATTTTTTTATAATTTTGTATTTATTTTTATATATTTTTATTTATTTTTATATATTTTTATTATTTAAATTTATCTATTGTCGTTTATAATTTTATATTATATATTTTATTTCTTTTTATTTTTATTTTTTTCATTTATTTTTATTGATTTTTATTTAAATTTTATATTTTTATATTCAAATTTTATTGATTTTTATTCCAATTTTATTTATTTTCAACTATTTTTATTTATGTTTTTTTTTTATTTTCATCTATTTTTTATTTATTTTATTTTTTATTTATTATTACTTAAATTTTTCTAATCAAAAATCCCCAAAAGATTTCTTTATGTGCATGCAAAATCAGTTAAATCTCCATTTGCCTATGACCGTTTAGGGCCAAATGGCACATCTCGTTCGCCAAAATGGCACTAGGCACGTATCCGGGGGCTGGAATTGGGGTTGGGATTGGCCGGAGCAGCTGATGGTACGTGCCTGGACTGCATCCAAGCTGTAAGCTCTGCCCGGCGACGAGGCAAACAACAACAACAAAAAAAAAAGGCATTTTAACGAGCCACGCGCATGCGCAATTGTCCAACGAAGCCTCGAGTTTTATGCAACCGGCCGGCGATCAGCGGAGCAAAAGAGAGACTTTCCCTCATTTGAGAATTCATCGGGTTGTGTTAACCTGCACACTTATCGCACACTCGCCGCAGATCCAAGCCATCCCGAGACCAACATCATCATCATCATCTTCCGGCCGTGCTCGCCCAGGCGGAAGTCTATCAACCACCCAGCAGCACCACTGACCCACCGAGTAGGGGGTAAAGGCACGGAGCCACCAGATAACACCAATCCGGTCATCATTATCACCTCGTACCCATCGGCACGTGATCAAATGTGGTCTTGACAGAGCCCCTTTATTAAGAGGAACCTAAATGCTTAGGTGCTGGGTAAGTAATATTAAATAAATAATATATAATAAATATTACAAGAGATAAACTTCCTAATTGAAAGTTCTGGGAAATTCACAAAAATCGTGATAGTCCCCACAACCTTTCCTGCCCAAAATTCCAATAAATAAATCAATAAAAGGGAAAATAAGTGGTAATTATTTATACTCACTTGACAATGATTAGATACCACAGCGGGGAATTTTAGATTGAGTAGTCCTACTTGCGTAGGGTTACTAAAATGATATATAGCATAATATGATATAGTTAGCCGATCCGGCCCATTCAAACATATATAGTAGTAAGAGTATTCAGAAGACTAAATGCAAAGTTTCATGTCTTTATCGACTTGGCTGTTGATGCTGATCAAGAATATATATGTATACTTTATAGGGTCGGAAAGGTCTCCTTCACTGCGTGAAATTATAATATAGTATAAAAACCTACGTAAACCTAAAGAACAACAAAATGATAAATAACATTTAGTAAACGTCATTAATCACTGACACTTGGGTTTTGTACAGGTCAAGATCAATCACAACCAGGCAGATAAGATAACGTTCCAGGAACTGTTGAGGACTTTTAATTGTTTTCCAGGAAGTAAAATTATTTTTTAAAAAAAGAATAATGACCATGTGCTGACAACTTAAAAGTTATCTACTTTTATTTGAAGGAAGAGAAAAAGATGAATGAAAGTAGAAAATATAAGTCACATATTTCAAAAAAGACAATATAATATATAAGATGCATAACGCACAGAACTATGCGTGCAGTGAAAATCTAGAAAGAGAGCTACTCTCTCTCTCTCTCTTTCTCTTCCTTATCGTTAGACGTTACGCATGTTGTTTATTTTAAGGCCTTTTGAAATTCTTCACAAGATTGAAGCCTTCCGAAGGTTTCCATGCTGATTTGTGATCAGGAAATTGCCATAGCCCCATATGTCATTTTTTTGTTGTTGTTTTCCTTTACTCTTTTTTTTAAGTGCGGTCAATGGGACCTTTAATGACAGGCGATAAGATATAGACGGGCACCTTATCGCCTTGATGGATAATGCGAACGAAATTGAAATTAAAGTCCCCATCATACGCAACCACTTGACGTCCCATCAAGATGTCATTTACGATTTCAAATAAATTAATAATAATTAAACTAGAATTTATTCACTTCAAAAAAAAAAAAGGTAATCACACTGTGAAAAAAAAAAAAAAACAAAATTATATTAATCAAGGAAACAAAAGGTACAGGTTCGGTTTGTGGTTGCTTAAGGACTCGCAGTGAATTTATTGCTTCACATCCCAGATCTCTCCCAACTCCCAGAACTCTAGCCCCGGCAGTTGAAGCTACTGACGCAGAACTCCAGCACCGGATCGAACTCCATGTCCGCCGGACATCTACGCTTGTAGGGCGTCAGCTCGTTGCTGTCCTTGCCGTAGCTGCAGATGATGAACTCCTGGCATTCTGTCGTCGGGAAGAATCCGGTGGTAGCGCACACGTGATCGGGATCGGTGCTATTGCCGTCATCGTCGGTGGTGTTGTTGTCATCGTCGTCAGTGGTTTCGGTGCTAGGCTCATCGGTGGAGGGTTCCGTGGTCAAGGGTTCATCGGTAGTGGTTTCATCGGTAACAGGCTCATTGGTAGCTGGCTTCTCGGTGGTTCCAGGAGCATCCGTGGCTGGTTTTTCTGTGGTTCCAGGAGCACCCGTGGCAGGCTTCTCAGTGGTTCCAGGAGCATCGGTGGCAGGCTTCTCAGTGGTTCCAGGAGCATCGGTGGCAGGCTTCTCAGTGGTTCCAGGAGCATCTGTGGCAGGCTTCTCAGTGGTTCCAGGAGCATCAGTGGCAGGCTTCTCAGTGGTTCCAGGAGCATCCGTGGCAGGCTTCTCGGTGGTTCCAGGTGCCGCAGTGGGTGCCGCAGTGGGTGCTGCCGTGGGTGCCGCAGTGACTGGTGCCTCGGTGCTCTCATCCAGATTATCGGGAACGGTCGGATTCTCAATGTTGCCATTGTCGCGAGCCTCCATCCCGGAGATGGGCATGGGTGCCTTTGGCAGGGACTTGGCGTGGATCATCAGGGGAGCCAGGACTAGGGCCAGGCCCAACAGCATCGATAGCTTGAACATCTCGGTCTGTTTCCCGTTTGGGTTTCGTTTAGCTTAGGTTCTCGGTACTTGGTTCGACGGACTAACTGATCGGCCAATCGGCCCGGCTCTTTTATAGCCCGGCCAGGACCGAATTGCCCAAAAAGGCCAATCTCTGAGATTGCGACTGATTGGCTGATAAAGACGGGGTGCGTGAATAACTACTACCACTATCGAAGGCGGCCAAAATGTCTGGTGGTGTGACTAAGCCACCGATAAGAGATCCACCATTGACCACTAAGCTTTAGTTTGGGCCATTTGAAATTAAAGTAAAAGCCAACAAGAAAGTTAACTCTGGCAAGCCGAAGTGTGTATACCAGTGGCGGATTCACGGGGGGGGAATTTCCTAATTTCCCCCCTTGGAACCTAAAAATCGTACTATCTGGCAGTGTTCCCAACCGTTACGTTATTATCCTATACGATAATACTGAACAATTGGCACTATTGAGTATGAAAACACTCAACGCATGGTGACGTTTCATTTAAATCCGTTTATCTCGCCAAAAACGCCTCAACTTGACTGTCCAATAGAATAATTTTCTGTCAATAAGATCAATTCCCCCCCCAAGAATCGTCTCTGGATCCGCCACTGGTGTATACCCTTTCCATTTGTAATTGGATCAATGAGAAACGGATTCATTTCGATCAAATAAATATATAATATATTATATATAAATAATATATTATTAATAAATATATAACATGTAGAACATGGATTTTTAGATGATTTTATTAGATTTACCTGATTTTTATTTCATATAATTTAACCAATCAGTTGATATATTCATCCGTTTTTATACCCTTGCAGGGTATTATAATTTCAGTCGGAAGTGAAGGAGACGTTTCCGACCCTATAAAGTATATATATTCTTGATCAGCATCAACAGCCGAGTCGATCTAGCCATGTCCGTCTGTCCGTCTGTCTGTCTGTTTCTACGCAAACTAGTCCCTCAGTTTTAAAGCTATCTGAATGAAACTTTGCATATAGTCTTCGTCTTCTTCCCGGAACGGGCCGGATCGGACGACTATATCATATAGCTGCCATACAAATGTTCGATAAATTTTTAGAAAAAAAAATTATAACTGGGCTGTTTTTCAATATATTTAAATAATTTTTGAGATATGGCCATTTTTTATTATTTCAGAATTTCGACTGAAAATCGAACGACTATATCTTATAGCTGCCATAGGAACAATCGGGAAATTCATAGAAAAAAGTATAACTTCGCTATTTTTTTACTTATAATATTTTAATTTATGAGATATGAGCTTTTGTTATTATTTTTGTATTTTGGTATATATATTATTATTATAAATCGGACAACTATATCATATAGCTGCCATATGAACGATCGGAAAATGTAGAAAAAATGTAAAGCTGCGAATGTGAAAGTGTAAACATAATAACTATAGGTAAAATGTAATGAAACTCTGTTTTGTGAGTGTTTTCAGCATTTAAATCTATAATATAAACATCAAAACCAATCTGAAAGGGTATACAAACTTCGGCGTGCCGAAGTTAGCTTCCTTTCTGTTTATTTCCTAGTTTCACCCTCATTAACAGCTAGCCTCGTCGAAAGCGCTTTTTTCGAAATATAAATTTTTAGCAGGCGCTGAAAATAACTTACTACTAGGCAGGCAGGAGAAGTAGCTGGCCAATCCATTCGAGCTACTCAATCGGAACAGAGCAGACAGGTTCAGACAAAATTTAAGCATAGGACACATCCCAGTTTTAGGGATACGCTAACAGTTAGTATAGGAAAATGGCAAATGCCACCAATAAGTTGATGTCCACCGTCGGTGCAGCAGCAGGAAACGCTCGGGCACAACCGCAGACACATCCAAATCCGGCAGCTTTAGCCACACGCTCGCAAAAATTGAAGTTCATCGGGTGCTGCCATCTGACCGACAAGCAAATGGAGCAGCACTACAAGCTCCATTACATTTCGGACGGGGAGCTGGCCTCAGTGGGCATGCAGCGCAGCTCGGTGATCGACGACTATCGCCTCATGCACGAGATCTCGCAGATGCACCAGCAGGATCTGAGGCGAGAGAGGGCACAGAAACTCAGTGCCCTGCCAGAGGATCGTGCCGAGCGTATTAAGGAGCTGCAGTTTCGCTTGGGAATGCGCCCGCACAAGGCATACAAGTTCCAGCTGCTCAACCAGCTGGTGAGGGTGATGGACACCGAGCCCGACCCGAAAGTCATCTTTCCGGAGAAGCAGTTTACTTTTTTTGCCATCTACTCTGCAACCGAGGATCGCCGGCTGGCGCCAAAGGAGCGCGAGCGCCACCGGTTCGATGCCTTCTATGATTATTTGGACGACATGTTCGTCAACGGTGATCGCAACAAGGCCATCGACGTGGTGGTGGACGCCTTCGTCCGTTTGAAGAAGCGACGCATGCAGATTAGCCGAGTGCCCATACCCCGTGGCTATATGTCGCCGCGCGGCTACGATCTCATTCAATCAAATGGGATTGAAAGGAGTACAGCCTAGGGATGAAGACGTCTCCACCTCCTGCTCCTCATCAAAATCTTGACCGATGGTGTTTTCTCTTTTTTTTTTCTTTGTTAATTTTATTTCGATTCTCCACAGAAATACACTTCGATCCTCATCAGTATATTATAGTTTAAACAAATTTTAAATTAAATTTCGATCTCCCATTGAAATAAGTTTCTCAGTTGCTGCTGCTTGCTTCATAATCGGTAATCGGTAATCGGTAATCGGTAATTGATAATCGGTAATCGGACCTTGTTTTTCGCTCTAACTCTAATTCCTCTTCTTTTCCATTTCGCATGTACAAATATTGGTATGTATAAGTTATGTATAGAGGAAGGGGATGTGGGGGGAGACATGTTGGAGGTAATTGGGATTCTATGATTTAGTAGTAGGCTCCATCGTTCAGTAGTAGTAGTAGTAGTAGTCGAGTACATATATATATGTAGGTGTATATAGAAGTATGTATACATTTATATAAATTTAGGCCGGCATTCATACACACGCTTATAAAGATCTCGAATCATTCACACTCCCATAGAATTCGAATTTTTTGCTTTAGCTATCCAATAGACTTAGTCGTAAATATGTATGTATATATCTAGATATATATACTATGAATATAGTTCCCTTTTGCGCTCTCTTAAACCACTTTCCACTCCCGATTATTATTATTGTATTCCAAACTCAACAAGTGCACTAAAGACTCTCGGAAAAAAATGATAAGAACTGTACGAAAGTCGATAATCGATCGATAATCCGATTGTTTCGATAACCCATTAACGCGACATCCGATAAATTGATCAATACGCTAGCTACGCAAAATGAAAGGCGGAACTGAAACAATTCTAGTTTTGGTCTGTTGGCCAAACTCCAAGCTCGAGGCGAATATTATCCAACTATACTATATATATGTATGCATTAGCGCGGTCAATAAACGAAATAAACACTTATGCCAACTGATTCCTGATACTTTTTTTGCCCTCTGGATTTTCCTTTGTAATTTTAGCATTTTTTTTTTTTGTTTTTTTTAGTCACATATTTTACTATTTATATACACATACACGCACACACAACTACAATATATATATTTTACATAAATACACACACATAAGAAACTTTTTTTTTTGTTTTTTTCTTTTGTTTTTTTGTAAGTAATTTATAATATTTCATAGTTACGATTACGAATTACTGGCCTAGCTTTATTTTATATTGTATTGTTTAATTTCAATTTCAATTCAACATTTCTGGGCTTTGCTAGTTCTCAACTTGTCTCTAAAAATTGTTGCAGTGTACATTGGCTTAGTTTGACTTAGTGACTTGTATGTATATATATATATATATATCCCCTCGTTCCTCCTTCATATGAATCATATTTCATCCTACAGCAAGTCGGTTTATTTTGATTCTGTTTCGCTTCCTCCTCGAGGGATCGCTCCTCCTTTGACATGGTTTAGAGGAGCGGGACAATACAACAGCAAAAGGAGGAAGAAGGAGGGTCATGGCTGCGGGCTTACTTAATGATTTAGTTAATGTTTTGTAGTTTGTTTTTCCCTATTTAATATTTTATATACGTTTATTTTCAAAATGTACAGCACAATATGGATTTTTGTATTATCATTAGCTCTGTGTTTATTATTCCGTCTTACAACTAGGGGGAGTAGTGGGGGGCTTTAATTCCAAAAAGCGAGGCAGGACCATGCTAACTCTTTCTCGCTCTTCTCTAAATAATTTCATTTTCTTTTTCGGCTTCACATCCTTCATCGGGTCCTCGTCCTTAACGTCTCTTGTATTATCAAAAAAAAAAGTTACGTTTAGATATATATATATATATATATACGTATATATATGCATATATATATATATGGTATATATTCTAGATATAGCAATTTAGTTGCGCTTTTTATATGCTACGAGTTCACTTAAAGATTATTTTGTTTCGCTTCTCTCTGACTCCTAATCCATTTAATTTTCCCTTCTCTATTTCTCTGCTAAACGGCGGCATTTTCGTAAGTGCATTTAATAGTTATATCTCTTTTGTTTTATATATATATATGTTTTTTTTTTCCTTGCCATGTCTCTGTCTGCTTTGTTTACTTTCCTCATGAGGCTTGTTATATGGCTAGCCGGAGGCTACATAGTTGACTTTACGTTTGTATCCTTAATTACTTATCATGCATCTACACACACACAGCCACACACACTCATACCCAGTTAAAAAGACAACTGCATTTTGAACAATTAAAAGGATAAACAGGATTAACAACTATATCCTCAAATTAATGATTTACAAAGTATCTTGCCTAGAATATAACACCTCTCTTGCGTCTTAATTAATAAATAATGTCAATGCTTTTGAATTTTTTTATCTTTTCAAAATATACAAAGCTTGTTTACAAACAAGGCAAGCAATTCAATTCAATTTCTTAATTGTTTGTTTGTCACAAATGAAAAATATAACAAAATGTTGTAAGCTAATCTAGGCTTTAGTTGGCAAGGTGTTATTTTCGATTTTTTTTACAAAAAACTGGCAAACTATTTGTTAAATCCACATATACCCATATCTTCTGTTTATCCTTTTATCGCTGCAAATGCCACCATCACAGTTGTCTTTCTAATTAGCCACGCAAACCCTGGACACTGATTCTGCCTAAGAACTAGCTTTAATTGTAGTTATATGATTTCTTTTTTCATTTGTTAAAAAACAAACACTAATAAAATAATAATAATAAAAAAAAACACGTTTTGCTTTATCGCTGAATAATTAATGATTAAAGTAGAGCGTAATCGTAATAGTAATGTTGGTAAAACAACGTTGCCAGATGAAGGTAATGGTTGTAAATTAACAACAAAAGCAGATACAAATGCATCTCATCACACGCACACACGCACGCACTCACACACAAAGCACGGTTTTGCCGATGATATTACTAGCTTTAAATAAATATCCATATGCTCGGTGTGCCTCTTTTATACACTTTACTTTACTACCTAATCCTTCCTGATCTGACCTCTCGTGGTCTCCTCCTGGACATGAGCTTCTCTAGCGCGGATCCCTCAATTAATCGATAGTTCGTTACATTACATTAATTAGCATAGAAGCGTATTGTTATAGCAGTTATTTATAATGTAGGCATGGTATCGGTATCTGTTATCTGTTATCTGTTATCTGTATCTGGATCTGGATCTTATCTGATGTATAAAAGTATATCAACTCGGACATTTTGTGTAATTAGAACAACGCCAGCTGTGCCGCTCTCCTGTGATCCTTTGGGATCTTGGCTGGATGCAATGCCGTTGCCGTTGCTGCTGCTGTTGTTACTCTTGTTGTAGTGCGCCTGAGGCTTCCTCCTAGGGCCTAGGTCTCCTGCTCCTGCTCGTTATAGTAGGTCACATACTTGCTATTGGCAATGGCATTCCATGCTGTGGGTAAAGGATTAAATATAGTCACAGAATATTCATAAATCATATGCAAAGTACTCACTGTTGGCTATATAGTCGACAATCAATTCCGTGTTGGACATAACCCCTGGACGCGAGGACGCCTGCGACGGCAGCACAGTCACCTCCTGGGCGGCGCCATCCGACTTAAGATCCGCCATAAAGCTCAACTCCTGCAGGCTCTCGTCGTCGGCATCGTCGTCATCGGCATTATTGTAGGCCATAAACACAGGCAGCGCCACCTTGGTGGGATGGTGATGATGATGATGATGTTGCGTTGTCTTGGTCCTGGCCTCGTGCCCAGCATCCTGGGAGTTACTGCGGCTGCAGCTGGTGCTCCGTGCAGCGGCGGCGGCACGGGCGGCGGCTATAATGGCCGCCTCAATATCGTTGCACGTCTCCAGCTGCGTCATGGCAATGGTGACATTCGGCAGCGTCTCCTCGCCACTACTGCTACTGCTTGCCTTGCTTAGGAAATTGTTGACATGCTCCTTCACAGACGTATTGGCAGCGGCATAGATGCCACTATCGCTCGACTGATTCGCCACGCCCCCAAGCATACCCGAAATGGATGCCAGGCAGGCGGCACCATTTCCACTTCCTCCGGAGGAGGAGGATATCGAGACGGAGGATGATGAGTTGGAGGTGCTGGCCGAAGCCGAGGAAGAGGCCGAGGGTGTGGACGAATTGATTAGACTGGCGGCACTTGAAGAGGCGGCGGTGGCTGCCGCACTGGGCGATGACTGTGCCACCTCCGCGGAGATAGAAAGCATGTCTAGGCTGGCGGAGCTGTTTACCGCCGCATCTGAAGCGGTTCCGGAGTCGTTCAACTGATGATCGCTGCTGCTGGCGCTGACATCCTGTTCCTGCTGACTCAGTTTTTGCTCCGATTCCTGCTGATCCAGATCTTGGTCCGCCTCTCCCTCCAGTTCCGTCTCCGTTTGCTGCTCCTTGGTCTTGGCTGCCGATCTTCCTCGCTTCTGCTGCTGCTGCTCCTCCTCCTCTTCATTGTCGTCGAAGAGCTTGAGCTCGTCTTCGTTAAAGTCTCCGAAAATGAACTCGTTGTTGCTTCTGCCAGCATCACCATCATCGTTAAGTATGATCACTGCCCGCCTGCCAGCTGTGGTTTCCAGTACAGCCCCCGCTCCCTTGGCGATGCAACTGCTGCTGCTGGCCTTGTGCTGGCCACCAATCAGCTTCTTGGCTCCCTCGGTCTGTGTGGCAGCCGTAATCTTTTGAGTAGTGGCCGTCTTGGGCGAAGGCTCCTCCTGACTAGGCTTCGAGTGCTTCTTGCTAATGGTGGTGGTGGTGTTCGTGGTGATGGGAGAGGGCTCCTTTGGCTTGGTCTTGGACTTGGCTAAAGCTAAGGCTGGAGCGGATACTGAGGATGGAGCTGTGCCACAAGCTGCTCCAACCGGAGGTGAAGCTTGAGCCGATGTTGACGCCGAGGAGGAGGAGGATGAGCCCGTGGCCGCAGTAGCTACAGCAGCAATAGCTGTGGTAGTCGTTCCTGCTCCTGCTACTCCTGCTTCTGCTGTCGGCGGTGAGATGGAGGCAAAAGTGGCGGCCTTGTCCGCCAACTGTTGCTTAGCCGCTGCCGCAAAGTTGTACAGGTGCGTGGCCGAATTCGAGGAGGAAGCGGCGGCGGCGTAAAGGGACACATTGTTGGTGCTATGCCGCTTGACCGTCTTTTCCAGCGCCGGATACTGCTGGTCCAGGTTACTGCTGTTGCAGCTATAGCTGGCATCATGCTCCACGCTCTTTGACTTCATCAGAGCCGGCAGCGAGGAGGAGGTAGCAGCGGCGGATGTTGTGGAGGAAGAGCTGATGACGGAAGCGGTTGTGGAGCTGCTGCTGTTGCTGCTCGTGGTGGCTGTGGCTATGCCTAGGCCTGTGCTTGTGCCAGCCGTGAGTGTGGGCGTGGCAACCAGGTTGCTGCTGCTACTGCTGCTAGGCAGCACCTGCAGCACCTCCGGCGAGTTTATAATCTCTGCATCGCTGATGTTATTGCTGGGAGGCGTGGCATTCAGGCTTTGCGAGTAGGACGGCGCCGTGTTCTGGTTAATGTTGTTGGTAGTGGTGGTGGTGGTTGCCACAGCTTGTGGTTGTTGGCAGCCACCCGGCAATTCCGGGAAATCGGGTCGCAACTTGGACTTGCCACCCTTGAAATTATGCTGCAGCTGCTTGTCGCCCAATCCGGATGCAAAGCCCAGATCCAGCTCCGTGTCGCTGGTGGCATTGTTCATTGCCTCCTGCTTGTTCCTGGCTATGTCCGCATAGGAGATGGGTGCCGGGGAGCTGTTGTTGTTGTTGTTGTTGTTCTGCTTGGACTGACGCTGGCTGGCGGCCTGCGCCGCGCGCTGCTTGTTGTTGCCACCGCCGCCGCCACCGAGGCTCTTCTTTTTGCCCGTCTGAATGGGCAGCGAGTGCACGGAGTCGAGATCACTGGAATCAGACTTTTCCGATGGCGGCATGGAGGATGTGGACTTGCGCCGCGAGCTATCCACCTGATTGGCCACCACCGATCCACCGCCATGATGATGATGATGATGGTGATGATGGTGGTGGTGATGATGGTGCTGCTGCTGCTGGGCCTGGTAGTGCTGCTCCTGGTATTGCGACTGTGACTGTGGCTGCTGCTTGCCTCCATTCCCATTGTTATTGTTGTTGTTGTACGGCGTGTAATAGTGCATCCGCTGTGACATCATGTTGGAGGAGGCTGACTTTGTGATCTGCTGCATGCGCTGCAAATTGCCACCCGCATTCGCAGCCGCTGCCACTGCCGCATCATCCATTGTAACGGCACGCTGCTTCTTTGGTTTCTTCTTCTTGGTCACCACATGGAACTCGGCGGTCTCGGACAGCACCGTATTTAAAGCGTCCAGCTCGGACATGCGCGCCAAGGCGGGCAGGGTCAGTGCCACCTTTTGACCAAGATTCTCCGGCTCTGACCAGGCGGCGGCCATCTCCTCCTGATGAATATCCAGATACTGTAGCTCCTCGGTGCCCCACGAACGGCGCTCGCCCTTGCGTTGCTGCTGCTGCTGCTGTGATGATCCTCCAGAACTGTTGCTGTTCCGCACTTGCACAGCTGCTGTTGCCGTCGCTGTTGATTGTTGCTGATCCTTGTTGCAGTTCTTATTAATGTCCGCCACGGAGGCAGACTTGTGCTTGCCACTGCCGGAGGAAGAGGAAGCGGAAGCTGAGGCAGAGGTAGAGGATGACGAGGAGGCCGAGGCCACATGGTTTGAGCCATTCTTCTTTTGGCGCATCATCTCTGTGGTGGCCGACTGACGCTTCAGATCGTCCACCTCCATTTTGGAGCAGCTGCGCAGCTCCTCCAGCGAGTTGCTCTTCTTCAGCTTGTTCTGCTTCTTGCGCTCCTTCTTGCGCTGACCGGCCGCATTGCTGTTGCCACCACCACCATCGTTCTCAATATACTTGACCAACTGCTCGACGGGATCCTTGCCGCGATACCCAGCCACTGCTACATCCACTGTCCAGGTGGTAGTGTTGCGCTCCTGCTGTGACTTCTTTTTTGCCTTCAGCTTGGTGGGCTGCTGTTGCTGGGGCAGACCTATTCCTGATCCTATGCCTATGCCAGCTCCCGCCGATATACCAACGGGTGCCTGCTGCATTTGGCTGTTGATGGACGCCGACACGGCGGCCACTGCCATGGCCGTGGTGGTCGTGCCAGTGGAATGCAGCGTAGAAACACTGGTCTGGCGGTGAGCTGCCGTAGAAGAAGTGGTTGCACCGCTGCCGCTCATAGTGGTGGTAATCAAGGCTGTGAACTGGTTTCCATTGTTTCCATTGCTGGTGCTGCTATTGGCTCCATTGCCGCCATAGCCATCACCCAGGGCATTGCCATTCTCGTCCAGTTGGCGCTGCAATGTAATAAGTACGTTTTACTTCGAAAATTAAAGATCTGTTTTAGACGGGGAACTCACCGTTGTGGTCTTGCCACCCAGCGTAGCCGCTGTGGCCGTGGCAGTGACCATTCGACCAATCTTTGCCGGACGCATATCGCCAGAGACCACATCCGATCCTGCCGAGTTGCTGCCACCGGAAGAGGCCGAGGCCGAGACCGAGCTTGAGCTTGAAGTGGAGGCCTTACCGACCTCGATAGCAGCTGGCGAGCCAGCACCGCCGCCATAGACCGAGGAACAGGCTGTATAATTATCATTCAGCGAGACATAGCCAGCTTCCACCTTGCGCTTCTGCTCCTCGAGACCCATACCGAAGGGGCCGGTGATGGCGGCCAGATATTGAGCCTGCTGCTGCAGCTGGCTCTTGGCGGATACCTCCAGCACGGAGAAGCGCAGCGGGTCATCGATTAGGAACTCTCGGGCACCGCCGCCACCGGTTACTTTGGCCTCAGCTTGTTGCTTCTGCTCCTGCATCTGCGGCCCTCCGAGGCTGTCCAGCATGAACGTCATCGGGCGGTTGGCAGGCAATGCATTCTGTGGCGTCTTCAATTGCTACAGAACGAAAGAGAGATTTAGTGACTTCTCGCTGGAAAACATTCAACACGTCTCCCCAGACACAAATGTACGGAAACTCGGGACAACACAAGCAATTGCAAAATACATAAAATAGACATTTAAAATAATTATTTTCCTTCATTTTCTAGTTTCTGCTTTTGGGAAATACCTCCCAAAAAACGTGCTGTCCAATAATCCATGAAAATGGACATTCAACTTGCGACTCTTTGTGGAACGTAATAATTTAGTAATACATAATTGAATTAGTGGCCACAGTTGGACATATTATTGATTATAAATTAGTTGAGATTAGCGACTGAGGATTAGGGAAAAGGGACTACCGACCACCGACCGGAACAGTGCCTCGTTTAGATCTGTCTCCTCTTACCACCTGATCCGTCTCCACTGATACGTCCGTTAATTGGAGGGCTCTGGCTATCTCCCAGAGTGTGCCATCCATATGTACGTCCCAATCTCCTAAGATATCATTGCTTACCTCCAAGAGGTAGTCGTGTGGGACGCCTCTACAGCGGACGCCCGTGCCAGTGCCCGTCTCATCCTCGTCCATGTCAAACTGTATGCCCGCCTCCGGATCGCGCTCGCCCAAATGGCTGGGCAGGCTGCTGCAGCTGCCAGTGCTACTGCGATGGTGGTGCTTGGTGCCAGATGATCCGGTGCCACTACCTACCGCTTCCATGATCTGAGCCTGCTGCTTATGCTGCTTGGCATCCATTGCAGTTGGCTCAAAGTTGACGCTGCTGGGCAGGCTGCCTCCTTCCCGCTGACGCCCCGAGACTGTTGAGTTCTTGATCTTCTTGGAGACGGTTGCGAAGGAGGAGGTGGCGTTTTGGTTGTGCTGCTGCTGCTGCTGTTGGCGGCGATTGGAGCGGCCACTTAGCTGGTAATCACAGTTGAAACGTTGGGTTGCTGCCGTTGCCGCCGCCGCTGCTGCAGCCGCCGCCGCCGAGGTGGTGGCTAGCTCGCTGCGGTGGGCTGCCTCGACGAGATCCTGCAGGGAGCCGCCCTGCTTGTGCCGCTGGGCGGACTCTGTGGACCGGTGATTGCCGTGGTGGTGCCCCGCACTACTGGTGCTGCTGCTACCGCCTCCGCCGCCGCAGAGACCGGATGGGTTGAGTGTGATGCAGGTTTTGATGGCACGATAAGAGATCTCCTCGTCGTACTCAGCCTTTTTTAGCATTTGCTGTGGGACAGAGGTGAAGATGGACATACATACATATGCAAGTAATGTATATGTTAGAAATGAGCAGAGAATATCCGAAAATATGAAATGGGGAAAATATGGGATTATCCAACTTCCACTGAGTCTGCGTGTGTATGTGTAAACGGACACCGCTGCAAGCCTGGAAAGTGGTTGGAAAGAAAAAACAGCAAAACTCACCAGAAAACGCTCGCTCTTGTTTTTCCTGTCTCCAGGGTTCCGATACCAATAGGCCTCCTCGAGAAGTTTCTTCAATGATGCGTCGTCGAGATCATTAAAATCGCTGTCTTCCCAGGTATCGTACTTTGTCTGCAAAACGACACAAAATTTATAAATCAATTTTATAACAAATTGCACACACATGCATGCAGCCACAAAACACGGGATAGAATCGAACTTAACCTCAACAAAGCTCCCATGAACTGCGCAAACCACTTACTCATTTTAAAAAAAATAATAAGACAGAACGCATGCACTGCCCAAAGGCCCTTTTCCAACTGCTCAAAAAATTCACTTTCAGTTAAAGGCGGAGTATTAAATAAGTAAACTATGCTGTATCACACAGAAAAATAAAGGGGGAAGAAAGAATAACAAGAGGACAAGGAGAAAAAAAAACGGGAATATGTGCGGTTTAAGCGGCGGCTAATTCTGCTACTGTGCCGCCGTGAATGTTTTTGTTTAGATAAAACTGATTTGCGGTTTAATGTGCGTTCCTTGTGTCACCAGATACGGAATCGGAATAGTTGTTGGCTTGTCCAATCCAGAACTTTAAGCAAACTTCTAGTGCTCCTCTTCTTCCTTGTTGCGCTGTGTGCGCCTTGAGTACATTCCAAGACCTAACGGTAAAATTCCTAAAATGGGCAATTCCCTTGAAACTGCCCAAGTGCGACAGAAACGGTTAATGTAGCTTAGATCTTCTTGCTCGAGCGCAATTATTGAGAGGGTATTGGTGTCTTGGAATTCAGCAATTATTAGGGTGATTCAATCAAAAGGAAGCAAAATTGCTGACTTAACATAGTGTTCTTTTTTTTCAAACGATACATAATAAGTACATGCTTAATCTATCCAAACTTCACATTTTAAAATTTATAAGCTACATCATTTTTATAATTATTTAACAAGCCAAAGTGGATTTTTAACCCAGTCATACGTGGAAACTTAATTTAAACAAAGGACGTATTAATATTAATATTAGTAAGTTAGTAATAATAATATAATAGGTGATGAATAAATAGTACTGCTCGGTATTACAAGATACATTTTATTATAAGCTACGTAAGCCCAAAAAGCCAATGATAAACTTACCTTTTTCTTCTTTTGTCGCTTGCCCACATTCTGATCGTCCTGGGTCTTGCCCTTGGCAGTGGCCCCGTACTTTGGTCGCGACAGTTCCGACCTCAAGACCTGCGAGAAGGCCGACTCTCCGGCTCCAGCCTCAACTTCGGATACGGCAGCTGATGCCGTATCGCTGGCGGCGTGGTTAGTACTTTGGCTATTACTAGGAGAGGATGACGACTTCTTGTGATCCCGGCCGGCAATGTGATTTGTAGCTGAAGACGCGGCAGCTGTTGGGGCTCCCAGCCTATCGTCTGCCGCCGACTTGGCTGACTTGGCCGCCTCCTGCCTGTCGTCACACAATGACTCCTTCTTCAGCTTCTCCTTGTCCTTGTCCTGATTCGCGTCCGCCTCGTTTTCGGGCTTAGCAACATGATGCGAAGACATCATGGTCTTGAGCTGCTCCTCGGAGAACGGTGTCGGCGTCGTCTTGGTGGCGGTGGTTGTGGTGGTACTCTCGCTCATCGTTCCAGCGGCAATCGAGACGATGGGCGTGTCCGGTATGATCGTGGGCAGCTTATTGGCTGCTCCAGATCCCACACGCTCCGCCGATGTGTCCGTTGATGACGGCGTTTGTTCATTGTTCATCTTTTTTTCTGTTTTTGTGGCATGCAACGAAGCAACGAGCTAGCGAAACAACCAAATGCCATTCGAATTCCTCAAACCTTAGATACAATTGAATTTCTATAGTTAAGCTGATGGATATTTAGGCTTTTCTAGATTTTAGTTAGTACTCACAAACAGTTGCCGTAGCTATATCCGGTACTGCGGCTGCTGCTGGTGCTGTAGGTCCTTTGATTTGGACTGGATTTCCTCGGAAGCGCAGCTGCCAAAGGCGCCGTGCGGTCGCCACCGCGGCTGCAAGTGCTCTGGTGCTGTTTCTGCTGCTGCCGCCGCTAGTGGTTCTCACGCGGATCCAAAGATGCCAAAAGGCCAGGGAGGCCAGCAGGCCAAGAAGCCGCGAGGCCGCGACGCAACGAAAACGGGGGGAGGACAGGAGCAGCGGAACCAGCAGCGGCAACGGGACCTGGACCTCCTATTGCGTATCAGCGTCTGCTCCTGCTGCACTTGACAGGCCACTTGTCGTCAGTCGTCGCTTCTTTCGCTTCTCCTTCCACTTGTTTTCACTCTGTCCGTGGCATTTACGTACGTCCACGTTCGATCCGAGCACGGGGACTGGACTGCTCGCCTGCCGGAGCACGGAGCACGGTATTCAAATCCGAAGCGGTGTATAGGAGTCGTTGATGGTGCGGAATACGGAAAAGTGTGCGCACGGAGCAGCTGCCTACAACCGAAGCGGAGGAGGGCAAGGGTGAGACACAGTGGCACACAAACGAAACGAAATGAAACATATATTCTGCACGGCTGCCTTGCCTTGCCTTGTTGCTGTTGTTGTGGTTATGCGGATGGCGGATGGCGGATGACGGATTGCGGATGGGGGGTGGTGGTGGTGGTGTTGGCGGTGATGTTGGTGGTATTCATTGGGATGGTGGTTGTGGCGGTGGCGGTGACTGGGGGGTCGTTGGGATGTTTTGGATGCCTGTACGCTAGCTTAAGCGGTCCTACTGCCGGAGCTGGGGCCTTCCTATTTGCCCAAAAATCGCAGTTTTCTTTCCATTTATAATCCTTTTTCTGTTTTCTTATTTTTTGTTCGCTTTTCTTGCCAAGCCGCGCAGTGTTGCCAACGGTGGTGCTTGGTGTGCCCCGTTTTAAGCACAGAGTTGTCTACTGCTGCCGAAGTGCTGCAGCCCTTGGAGGAATCTGGACTGTTAGCCCCATAAATACCAGGTAATACTCGATAGCCCCGACATGGACATTGGGACACAGTTCACAGGTTTATTGTCGTGCCTGAGGCGCACAAGCACTCAAAGCCGACGCGGACATGGTCTTGGAGATTAACACACGAGTTGGCAACCCTGCCGCTGTTGTCAGTGGCAACACTAGCGCAAAACACGTCATTTCACTCAGTTTTTTTCTGATTCTAAACCTTTGGCATCCCTCTCCCACAAAGACAACACTTTTGGGACTAGGTCTATGTCTGTAGTATGTAAATGCCTAATTGATTTGTAGTCGCAAGACTGCACTTTTCCGTAGGCCGCAATTGTTATTTACCGATACATACGCCAGGCGGTGACAGCTGTATAACTTTCTGCGCACTCACACACACGCTCACTCACACACGGCCGCAGGTATGCGGACTGTGTACATTTTTCTGACCTCGGTTCGACTTAAAAGAACTCAAACGCACATCGAGTGACTGCATTCATTTGCGGCTGCGAAAACGCGCAATTGTGCGTTCTGCAAACAGCTGTCTATTGGCGGACGCAATAAATTGTTTAATTGCACAGGCACACGAAAAACTCCGACAGAACACTTGGAATTGTTGTTGTGTTTCACATAGGGATGTGAGAAATATATCCATATATCGATACTTTTATCTACAAAAATAAGAGTATCGTTACATTGCTCATTGCCGAAATATTTGAATATCGCTGTTATTTCCAATGTATTTGCTTTTTTTTTCTGTTGTGTTATTGCATCTATATACATATCTGCCATAAATATTGTTACCTTTTTTAACTGAAAAAAATGATGGTGCACTTTCAGAAATAGATCTTGTTACCTGGTCACACCGTCTGCATTTGGTCATAGATATTTTTAAACCGCTGATCAAAGAACTAACGGACTTTTTCTTGTATCGCAGCACTGATATTTGAAAATCAGCTGGAAGTTATCGGAAAGTTTAACTCGATGAATAACGAAAACCAAAACAAACTAGGCCAAACGAATGAAGATCAACGACGAATTTCACTTTGATGACGATGTTTTTATTACGTTTTTAAATATGTGAAGATGTGCGCCTGCAGGGCTATTCCCGTTTATTGTGTTTTGGCAAGAGTTCGCCCACCATTTGGTCCAACGCCCGCATTGTGTTGGGCTCGAATCCGATCTCCAGTCCGTCCACCGCCTGTCCCAGATGCTGCAGCGCCTCCTGGATCTCGGCAAACTCCTGCTTTTGTCGGCTTTGCTGTGGGCGCGGCTTGTGATGTACGTCCAACTGCTCCAGGCACACTTCCACAACACTGGCGTTCAGTCTGGCTGGATGAACATCGCTGCCGATCTCCACTCGCAATTTGTTCATAGCCTTGAGCGTCTGGGCGGATTTTTCCTTATCCACTTTATCGGACCTGCTGCCTATAGCCATGGACATGCCGACGCATTTAATTAAGCGCGTCAGACGGATATACTCCTGCTGGTACTGGTACTTGGTGTCGATCCATTGAAGCGCCTTGTCCTGCACCTTGAGGTCCAAATGTTCGGTCTCTGCCTGGACGCGGCACTTCGCCTCCAGGTTCAGCAGATGCTTAATGTCATCCATATTGGTTGTGTCGGACGCCTTTATCTTCGGATCCATTTCGGAATTAAAGCCCCCGAATTCGCAATAAGCAACGAATTCGTTTGGCGGTTGTTATCGATTAATACTACGATACAATTAATAATCGCGTTATCTGAATTTAAAATGTTTTCACTCAAATCTGGCATTTTGTTATATCTAAACCAGAGTTCAATCTTTGGATATGAATTTAAAATTATAATATTTTAAATTCACCCATGCTGCTGCCAATTTGAAAGTGGCGGCAACAATCGGAGGTGAGATTTCAATTGGCTGGTAACACTGTTCCAACGTTCTTGGCTTGGCAAAATACAGTATGTAATTTTTAAATTAAATTAACCTATATTTTAAATAATAATAAATGCAAATGAAACAGAAAATTCAATTAATATGAATCCCAACATCAAAAAGTAATTACCTGCACCAGCCGATAGTATCGATAGTGCGAAGAGGTGTTGCAGCACTAGTCCTCTGGCCACACTAACTAACACGTGTTGCCGGCTGTTTCGATTTCGTTGCTTTCGGGAAATAAATAAACGTATCGTTTTCGCAAACTTATCCCCACAGGACTTGCACCATTGAAATGCCGCGCGTCAAGAAACAGAATCCCTTTGCGGCCCGCAAGCGCCAAAAGCGCGAGAATGTAAGTTCAAACTAGAAAAAAGGCAAAAAATTCGTTTGAGCATGGAGCAATTGTTATTTGTTGGGTGTTTTTTTATAGGGTCCGCCAAAACCAGATCGGCGCGCCTTGCCGTACGAGGAGATTAAGCGCGACAACGCCTTCTTCATCAAGTACTATGAACTGCAGAAGATCTGCGCCACCGAGGAGGAGTGGACGCAGTTCCTCACATCCATACGCGACAACCTGCCGACCACGTTCCGGGTGACGGGCTTCAAGGACGAGGCCAAGGCGTTGCTGGCGATCATCGAGTCACAGCTGTTCACCGAGTATGTGCGAGCGGTTGCCGAACTGCACCAGAAGGCACCCGAGGAGGTGGAGCGACCGCTGTGCCTGCCCTGGTATCCCAACGGTTTGGCCTACCAACTGCATCTCACCCGCAAGGATATACGCCGTTCGGAGCCGCTCTATCGGCTGCACAACTTTCTTATTGTCGAGACAACGGCGGGCGGCATTAGCCGTCAGGAGGCTGTCTCCATGATCCCCCCCATCGTGCTGGACGTAAAGCCGACGGACAAGGTCCTGGACATGTGCGCAGCGCCCGGCTCCAAGACGGCGCAGCTGATTGAGGCGCTACACGCATCGCCCGAAGAGCACAAGATTCCGCCGGGCTTCGTTCTGGCCAACGATGTGGACAACAATCGCTGTTACATGCTGGTCCATCAGGCAAAGCGTCTCAACTCGCCCTGCCTGCTGGTGACCAACCACGACAGCAGCGCCTTTCCCAATCTACTGACCACGCAGCCGGACGGTTCCCAGGCGATCCTTAAGTTCGACAAGATCCTGTGCGATGTGCCCTGTTCGGGCGACGGAACGTTGCGCAAGAACCCGGACATCTGGCTAAAATGGAACCTGGCGCAGGCCTATAATCTGCATGGCATCCAATACCGTATCGTCCGGCGCGGCGCCGAGATGCTGGAGGTTGGCGGTCGTCTGGTTTATTCCACCTGTTCCCTGAATCCCATCGAAAACGAGGCAGTGTTGCAGCGCATTCTCAAAGAGACCGATGGTGCCCTGGAGCTGGTTGATGCCGGCCATCTGGTGCCGGGTTTAAAATACAAGCCGGGCATGACCGACTGGAAGTTGGCCACCAAAGAGGTGGACCAGGTGTTCACCAGTTTCGATGAGGTGCCAGAGAGCCTGCACACCATCATTAGGCCGGGCATGTTCCCGCTGCCCGCCGACGAGATGGCCAAGATTGGCCTAGAGAAATGTATTCGCGTATTGCCGCATCTGCAGGACAGCGGTGGCTTCTTCGTGGCCGTTCTGGAGAAGCGGCGCCAGCTTGACTTTGAGAAGAACGACGTTAAGGAGCTGGTGGCTCTTAACGAGAAAGCCAAGGAACCCGAAGCCGCCAAGGAGCCGCAGCTGGATGAAGAAGGCAAGCCCATTGAGGAGAAGTCCGTGCCGTGGGGACCGCAACGGAAGCGTCGGCGCCTGCACGGCTACAAGGAGGATCCGTATGTGTTCTTCGGTGAGAACGATTCCGATTACGAGGCGATTAAGGAGTTTTATCAGCTGGACGGTTCCCTCAACAAGCGCTGCCTGCTCACCCGTTGCCTCACCGACAAGAAGAAGAACATCTACTACTGCTCGGATGTCATCCGGGATCTGGTGGTGAACAATGAACACAACATCAAGATCATCAATACGGGCGTTAAGACATTTGTGCGCTGCGAAAACCGGCATACGGTGCATCCGTATCGCCTGGCCCAGGAGGGTCTGCAAGCATCCAACGCCTTTATGGGCGCCAGCAGGCGCATCGAGGTGGAACGCGACGATCTGGTACTGCTGCTCAACTGCACCGATCCCACAAAGCCGCCGTCAACACACGAGCTCAAGCAGGAAACGCAGCAGCGCTGCAAGGAGCTGGGTGAGTGAATAAATACGGCGGCGAACAATTAAGATCTAGTGTTGAAATCCCGTTTCACTATTGCAGGTGTGGGCAGCTGCATCCTAAAGTACGTGGACGAGCGCTTCACGCTGTTCGTGGTGGGATGGCGCGGCACCTCCAGCCTGCGGGCCTATGTCCAGAAGGACGAGACCATCCACATTCTCCGCCTGCTGGGCGCCGATCTCAGCAAGTTTGAGACCAACAAGTATGAGGAGGCGAGAGCTGCCGCAGCCGCTGCAGCGCTGACGGCAACGGACGACGCCAAGGAAGCAGGCGAGGGTGGTGAGGGTGCTGTAGCCGAAGCGTCTGAATCCCTGGTGGCCACGCCCATGGACACCGAAACCGAGGTGGCTGCCGAGAGCTAGTTCATCATGGGAATTTGCGCAGAAAGTAGCATTTAAGAGGACCAATATTCACGTGTATGATAAGTAAGAAAACATGCATATATCCCTAAACGAAAAGCGAAATTCTTTTTATTTTGTTCAAAAATAATTCATTGGTTATTAATAGATGTATTTTCTATTATATTATTAATTAAAGTTCAAAAGATCAAGTTAAAATTTGTACTCAATGGAATCTTTTTTTAAACAAAGCTAAGTTCATTGTTCACTCTGTGAATGATGGCGTTATTATCGACAGCTATCGATGAGATCATTCAAATATTGCTAATATATATGGGTTTTTTATACCCTTGCAGGGTATTATAATTTCAGTCAGAAGTTTGCAACGCAGTGAAGGAGACCTTTGCGACCCTATAAAGTATATATATTCTTGATCAGCATCAACACCCGAGTCGATCTAGCCATGTCCGTCTGTCCGTTTCTACTCAACCTAGTCCCTCAGTTTTAAAGCTATCTGAATGAAACTTTGCATATAGTCTTCTATATATTCTCACTGCTATATATGTCGGAACGGGCCGGATCGGACGACTATATCATATAGCTGCCATAGAAACGATAATATCTGCAAGGGTATACAAACTTCGGCGTGCCGAAGTTAGCTTCCTTTCTTGTTACATTATAACTTCAATCAGAAGCTAGTAACTCAATGAAGGATCCACGTCCGAAGAAAGGTTTCCATTCTTGTTAATCTTAAATTCAATATTATTTAGTTCAACCCATTAAAAAACGTTCTTATAATTTTTTTAGCAGTTTTTGTTATAAAATGTTACATTTATGTTTTATTTTAAATTTTTCCCAGTATAAATATATTGTATGTAAAGTATATAAAAAAAAGTTTATTAAAAAATTACACATACTCTTTATATAGATGGATTTTTTTTCTTCTCCTTTCTAGTCGTGTTGTTCTTACGTGTTTTTTTTTCAGTTTTATACGCTTTATACGTTGTTGTTTCGTGTGCTTGTGTCTTTTAAAAAGTTTTTGCTTGTGTTTGCCCATACATTATATATTTATTTGCTTTCTTTTCGGTCAGTTTTTATCGGGTTCCGGACTGAGTGGCTGTCGCATTGCTTTTACTGTTGCTGATGTGTGTTTTTCATGCACAAAGTACAAATACAAATACAAATATATATATGAATGTATGGAATAGACGAATGTTTATTTTATGTTAATTATGTAGGAATGAGACTGGCTCTCTCGCAGTTGTTATTAATACAGAAATAAAAAGAAAAATAATAATAAAAAAAAAAAAAAAACAATTTAAATGTGATAATAATAATAAAATACTTAAGCAACGACAAGCAGTTGCTGTGGCAGCGCAATCACGATTCTCTGGCCAATTATGACGCATGCGCAGCGCTGTTGCAGTTCTTCTTCTCCTCGAATCGAATCGCATTACACATTACACATTGGAGGGAAGGAGGTGAAACGAAGGTTTATATAGGCATACAGATATACGTATAAAAAAAAGAGAGATGTCGGGAAGTGGCGCTAAACGCTGGAGAGGATGATCGGTGTTTGCATGTATGTGTTGTTCGGAACGCTTAAGCCTTCTTCTCGGCCTCGATCACCTCCTTGGTGGGCAGCACGTTCTTCTCGTTGGTCTCGGTGTGCTTCAACTTTTTCGCATCAAAGTTCTCGATGCCGGAAATGAACTGATTCTTTTCCTTCTCCTGTTCGATGGCTGCAATTGAGATGAATAGTGCAAATTATAGAAATGTATTAAGAGTTGCAGTTGCAGTTGCAATAGGCCTGGCTGTCTAGCTGTCTGGCTGACTGGCTGGCATTGGCCATTGTCTCCATGTAAGGCAGCCTGCTCAGACTAAGCCAAAAACGGGCAACGAGGCCGGTTGCTCCGCTTTTATAGCCAGATGTTTGGCCTATACTAAACGCACCTTCCTTATCGGGCAACGGGTTCTTCTCGTTGGTCTCGGTATGCTTCAAATTGTTCTGATCGAACGCAGTGATGCCCTCGAAAATCGACTGTTGGGTCTTCTCGGCAGCCACATCTGTTGTTGGTTCAAGGATATTAGAATTTGTGCTTCTCTTTCGGGTCAAGTAGCAAGCAATTACTTACCCTCGGCGGTGGGCAAGACGATCTTCTCCTGGGTGCTGGCATTCTTCAGCTTTTCCTGGTTGAAGCCCTCCAACTGGCTCTTCAAATTCTCGGCCACCTTGGGCAGATCCTTGAGTGCTGGTGCTGGGGCGGCCATCTGAAAGGAAATAAAAATATTTTTACAATTTCTTGTGGCACATTTAAACGAATAAATAATACTTTTGGTCACCTAGATAATCATGTTTGCACACATGTGTCTCAAGAACAAATAAAAAACCAGCAAATAATAATAAGTAAATAAATAAAGTTTTCCAAGAATTCGTTTTGTATTTAACGAGAAACCACGACTCAAAAGCTTAATACTGATTAAAAGAATTTAACAAAAAATTGATAGCATATACCAGCGACGTACCTAACTTTGTTTATCGATTAAACTTAAAAAAAATAATAATAAAGGCTTTTAAATGTTGCAAAGTTTTGATACACTAAAAACTTTTCCCTACTAATTATTTGCAAAATTAATTTAGATTCCGATTAGATTTGAATGCGATTATGAAGACTTTACCTTTGACTACTAATTGTCAGCAATTTCCCTCTTTCAAATTCCCAAAACCAGATTATATATTTTCGTTTGAAACCGGAAGTGAATATCGGATGTTATCGGCGAGTAAGAGGAAACGAAAATCGATAGCCGATCTGCCGCTGTTGTGTCGTTAACGGCGCTGCTGTAACTGCGCTTCGTATTAAATGGTTTTTCGCCTTAATAAATAATTCATTTTCGTTTGAAATGAAAGACAACAAAAACACCTCTTTGTTGACAGTTGTGTATTCGATTTCTCAAGCGATTGCTAAATCAACAAGAAGTTAATCACACCAATGTCGGGGCCGATAACGATGACTCAATAAGCAAGGACGATGACGTGTGCCTCCTATCTGCAGCCCGCATAAAGGAAGAAAAGAAAGAAGTAGCGGGAGAGAGAGAGCGAGCGCTGCAAAGAAAGAGTTCAGCGAACCTTTGCAGCTGGGAAGAGATTACGACTGGAATTGGACGGTTCTCTCCGCTGTTCTTTTTCTGTTTCTGTTTTTGTTATTTTTTGTTCTCCTCTTTCCTTGTGCGCTTGTTTGTGGCCTTTGTTTTATTTAATTTTTTTTTTAAGCTTATCAGCTGGAATGTACTTGGGGAGCGGTTAAACTGCATTTTATCACGTTTATTTTTAGTTGCAAAATTCGTGTGTGCGTGCCCCATTCCCTATTGGCCATTCCCCCCGTCCCATTGCCCATTTGAGAGCTCCAATCGGAGTCACAAAGAATTGGCTTTGTTTCAATATCGGAGAGAATCAAGTCATCAAGTGATCAATTCGCAAGCTTGGATTGAACAGCTGCAAGCGTTACAAGGGCAGCGACCGCGCCAAAAACAAAAAGCGCGTGTGTACATACAAACAGCACACCGAAAGAAACGAAGAAGAAATACAACATAGCGAATCTATATTTATTTGCACATTTATGGCCATAAATGGTCGTAAAGCTGCGCCTCAAGCGGCTGGCCAATCACGTTAATTGTTGATTGACTAACGGCAGCCGGCAACCGGCCACCTCCCTCCACCATCCATCTTTCCAGTCTCCGCACACTCCACTGCACTGCACTCTTCGCTCCACGGCAGACACATTGCAGCGCAAAGCCTGTCTCACAAAACCAAGTTCATGCGGCGGCCTGATCACGAATAATCAATAGAGCCAGATTTTAAAAGTTTTATATCAAGATTAACTAAGTTTGCTTCACCAAAGCCTTGATTTAGAGATTTAGAATAACAATAAAACAATAAATAAGAACAGTACAAATTAACTATTTCAAATTCAAAATCTAACTCTTGCGCTAGCAATCTAGTTGTTTTTAAGAATTACGAGCCAATTGATCATCAGTTAAGCCTGTTCACTGCTCATGCATCCCATTTATTTATCGCAACTAGCACATTGTTTGCTAATCTTTACTTCGATAATGCTGATGAATTGCTCATCATTTATTATCGCCAAAAATAACAAACAAAAACAAATAACTCAGGCGGTCTAAAATAACTAACTGTGAGGAAATGATTCAAGTTTTGTAGGTCTCTCAATTGGTCTTTGGTAGCCGAAAAATATAAAATGATTATGATATGTTTCCTTTCCCCCATAATTTGTACACTTATTGAAGTTCCACTGCAGACGCGCTAAACAATATTGCTTGCTAATTGCGCGCATTTAAAGTTTAAAATCTAACAATTCTTTTTTTTTGTACGGCTTATTACTGTGCCTGCTCGGGGCCAGTGTAATATTGTATTCTGATACTTATCAAGTTTTATTAACAATTCTCGCAAAGGAGTTTATGCGTGACAACAATCACGAACAAACAATAAGCTGAGCTTAACCTATTGCAATCTCTCGCCCGCCTCTCGGTAGCTCGCTCCATTTGCATTTCGATTAATTGGGCAGCGTGTAAGCAGAGTGTCGCATTAGTCAGCTCCTTGCAGCAAACAAAGGAGAGGCCAACACATGCACACTGCAACTTCGCAAGCACGCACACATACACAAATACATTGTACGAATCGAGCAGATTGATGGGGCGAAAGGCAGAGGGGCATGGAGTTCGCCGTGAATCAACTTCCAACTTCGAAATATGGTCGCCCCGCTTAAAGCAGCCGATGGATGAATCATCCGGCGATGTCGCTATATAATTCTTCTGTTACCCTGCCCACAGCTGTGCTTCTTCTTCTTGCTCTTGACTTTGTAAGCCATCCACAGCTCAACGCTCTTTTCTTTTTGGCCTTTCTTTTATTCCCCGTTTTTGGTTAATTTTATATCGTGTAGCTTACAAGAGGGATGAGAGCGGCGTCGGGTGTGAGGGAGACGGCGCCAAGCCGCCGTTAGCGAAAGAAACAAAAAAAAGACGCCGAATTTGTTTTGGACACTCTTCAAGTTGAAATAATAAAATGAAATGAGTCAAAGCTGCTGATGCGTGGCAACCGACAGACGAATGGAGTTGAAAAAGAAAAGAAAAGGGGTGGAGAGATGGAAGGAGAAATGAGAAATGACAGACACGTCCGCTTTACACCCTCAACTCCTGCATAAATCTGCATACCAGCATGTGTGTGTGGGTGTGTGTAAGCTGAGCTGATAGGGGAGAGCGAGATGGCAGGCGACTCGCAATGAATTTTAAGCATTCACATATACACACACTCATATCATACAGGCACGATATGCAGGCTGCTGAATTTAGTCATATTTTGTGCATATATTTAATTTCAAAATCCCTGGATATCGGATACTGAACAGTGGATACTGGCTACATGTACATGTGTATGCTAGTGACAATGAAGCGAGGTCGCCACGCCCAGCAAAATTCGCAACTCGCCAGCGCACTCACACATATGCACATACAATGGTATTTAAAATAATAGCACTGGTCTAGTAACTGCCTTAAAAATGTTCTTTATTTTGGATATTCTAGAAAATAAAATAAAAAAATTGTCAATTTAAAGAGAGTTAGGAACCTTTTCAGAATTTTAAATATATCATTTATTATATTATCAAAATTAATAAAATATATTTTGTCCAAAGAAAATAAAGCCTTTCTTCAGGGTATAATTATGTGGCTGCGACTGTGTGCAAGTGCATGACTTGCGCGCAGTTTCGTGGGGAGGATATTAAGCAGCAGCAACCAAATGCGCCCCGCCCAAGTACCACTCACATACACACACACGCGCAGTGGCAGCAGCAGACGGCGAAAAAAGAAGTGAAAAATGCCGGCCGGCACTCACACTACATACCAGTTTATACTACACACACACAAGCAAGGAAAAAAAGTCAACAAAAGCAACAATAGCTTTTTAAGAGCTGCCAAAAAAAATCAAAACCATTACAAAGAAGTAGAGAGGGACGCCAAAAAACCTAACGGACCCCTCGCCACAATAAATATTTATTACAAATCCGCTGATGGCCAGCTGCCATTTTTGCAATCAATGAAGAAGCGCAGTCAACAAAAACCAGTTAACTGCTCTCAGTTTTCTCTGTTCATCCATCCTCCCCTTCCCCTGCTGAACGATCGGAGACTGAGGAGAATGGAGAAATTGCCGGCAGCCCCCTTTCCATTAGGTTAAAAAAAAATTAACAATGAAGCTCACCTTAAGTTTGGTTTTTGGCGTTGGTTTTGGACTTGGCGAAGAGGATTTAAGATTGGGATGCGGCGGGGCTGCTCCGAGCTCTAAGTTAAGGACGTGCACTAACTAGGATGGAAAACTCCGATTTTCTATTGCTAGCCGAAGCGCTGGGAAATTCACTGCCGAAGCTCTGGACGTTTGAAAACTAAGTGTTTGCGGTTCATGCTAGAGTCGGGCGTGTTAATTCTCGTCGTGAACACGACTCAGCGTGTTCGTGCGTGTTGAACATTTTCGACACGCCCATCTCTAACCTTTTTATTTGATATTCTTTGATATCTCCCCTTGGTCACTCTGAATTTCAAAGAAAAATGTCAAAACACAGTTTTACGATATTTTTGAAAAAAGTAGTGTTCGGAGTAGGCTGAGAGCCGGATAGTGACAGCAGGAAAGTAGGAACGGAGACGCCTTTTTTGTACGTTATAATATAATAAATTTAATGTTTAAAAATACATTACTAAATATTTTGAAATACTATTTAGCTGGCTGGAATACTCTTGATTTTTTGTGAAACTATCGCTTCATTTTTTTCCTTTCACCTTTCACCTGGAGAAATGTCGATTGTCGATTACAGAACGGCAAGTATTCGGTTTGAGTGTGGCCAGATGGGGATAAACGATAGTGTCGTTGATTTCAAAAACTGAATCGAATTTTATTCAAATGTAAACAAACTATTTTAAAGTATTTGAACGAATTACTAAAAGAGAAGAAACGCCAGCCTAAGTCTAAGGCATGGGCTCAACGCCCATCCTCAACGAACGAGGATGAGTCGGAGTCACCGGAGGATGATCTACCTGCTGTGTTTCTGTGTGACCTAATAAAAACGGATATTAACTTGGACGAATAAAGGCGGGAAACTTTGCTCTGAATAGAACGTAATCAAACACGTAAGTGTGTAACGTACTTAAAGAAGAGTACTGAAGAGCTGGACTACGGTCACACCAGTCAATCAAAAAGTAACGGAGCTTTTCCACGCAGTCCAAATCCGTAAAGTGTAGTTTTTCGTTTTTTTAAATATCTATCTATTTTTGTTTTGTGTAAGAATGAGCTTGCAGGACGAGAGCTTTCCGTCAGATGAACTGTTCGAGCAGTTCAACAATCGGTGCCCGCGGCCGAAGTTCTCGGAGCTCCATCAGCCGGCCGCCTTCGAAAGGCATCCGGCGCCATTTTGCGACTCCTACACAGATGTGGCCGACAAGAGCGCCAACACGTGCGTGAGCGATCCGGTGGGTCGCCACGAGGCAGAGGACGAGGACGAGGACGAGGAGAAGATCGAAAACGATGGTAAGTGACACTCGAAATCACGTGCGACCCGCGATCATCCGGGCCTCCTGCCTCCGTGTATTTGCAGAGTACGAGTTGCGCGGTGGGTGCGGGGGTCGGGGCAGCATGGCGGCGTCCTGCCAGGACGTCCACTCAGCGTACACCAAGCGAAAGTACCAGCACGTCACCAGCAAGGTGGCCAAGTACATCAGCGACCTCAACGATCAGAAGAAGCGACGCAGCACTTCGGGCTCCATTCAGCGCCACAGCTCCATGCCGGAGTACCTCACGCCCAAGTCGCGAGCGCGCCACGGTGGCGGGCACTTCAGCGTCGATGAGTTGCACCAAATGGAGGAGGTGGAATCGCCCAAAGCGTCCAAGGACAACAGCTGCGTTGATTACGAGATGCTACAGAATGAGCACGAGATGCTCCGAAACGAGATGCTCCGAAACGAGAACGAGCTTATAAGGGAGGAGAAGGACCGACTCCAGTCCTACAGCAACTACCTTCAGGAGCGGCTGGACGCCAAGCAAGCCCAGTTCGTGCAGCTGAAGCGCAACTTCGAGACGCTCCGCATAGAGTTGAGCGATAAGAATGAGAAACTGAAGCGTCACCAGCGAAACTCACTCCGCACCCTTAATAACTGGCAGCCTGCGGTCATAGCCAGGGCCACACAGACGGATATGGTCGAGTTGGAGTCCATTCTCGAGAGCAATAACCTCGCCAGGCCGACTCCAAGCTTCGATCTGTCGTACAACACCAGCGAGGGCTCCATCGAGATGGCTCTGCCCACTGGGGAGTCCATTGTGAGCCCGCTGAATCCCGACAACGAACCGGAGGCCAGAACAACAGCAGCGCCCAACAGCTCGGAAACAAGTCAACCTACTAGCAACGACTCGGCAATTGACATGGAGAACCACGGCCTCCGTATGGGACTCTACTACGTCGACGAGCGTCGCAACCGGTTCATACAGATACAGGGCGTAAGCAGGGACAACCAAGGGCACCCTTGGTTGCGTCCAAAGAGGATATCGCTTGGCAGCCGCATACTGCGGATCTTCGGGCCCTGCGTTTCCTGCAGTGACCAGGCCCAGGCGATGAATGTCACCTTCGCTTCAGAACGACCGCTGGTGGATGAGACGATGGCCGGCCAAAGGCTCCAGCGCTGATCGCTGGTTTCCTACATACTTGCATTTGTTTATTTGTATTTTTTTATTATAATTTTTATGTATTTCTGTATTTCTTATTCAATATGTGTATTTATGTAAAAGCTATTTATTAAAATTTTTTATTGTGCCTCCACCAGCATGAGGGGCTTTGGAAATGTACCTGAAGAGCTTATCTATGACATTGGCATTTTTATTAATTCATTCAAATACTTTAAAATAGTTCGTTTACATTTGAATAAAATTCGATTGTTTTTGAAATCAATACTATCGATTATTGATAGCGACATCGATGTTTCCGCTTTTCCCATCTGGTCTCACTCAAACCGACATTTCCAGGTGAAAGGAAAAAAATGAAGCGAGCTCGTCGTCCAAATATGGGAATCAACAAGAATTTCGTGGCTGGAGGAGTCTACGTAAGCATTAATTAATTAGTGTCACTCTTTGCTTCCTTTTTCATCCCACAAAAACGCCGCAATTTGATTGGTTTCCTTTTTTTTTCGCTTGCACCGCCTATATGAGTGGGTGTGTGCGTGCGGGCGAGTATGTATGCAAAAGAAAGAAAGAGAAAGATAATCATTTTGTTTGAATCATATGCGTACGAGTATTTAATTTGTGTAATAACAGAGATTCTGTTTTCGTTTCTATATAATTTACAGCGCACAATATGAAAATGTGTGTATTCCTTCACCCCAATTGTGAAACCATTTGCAATAGCCACTAAAAGCGGGTTAATCGAAAGTGCAGAGACACTGTTGTCCGAATTTCACCAGGCATGCCATTCATTCCCCCCACCCCAACACACACAGACACTCCATTTCCAATCATCCGTTGATTCTTACTCCAACTTCCATTTCCATTATCTCCAAAATACGTCATTCCATTCATTTCCATTCGATTTGCACTGGTGCCTTCGAACAACAAGAGATGGCCAGCATTGCGATAAATTCAAGCTGGACTTGCGGTTATCGCTAACTTTTATGGCTACTGAAAATGCATTCACCCGAAATTGTAACTAAAATTATTAGTTTTGCGTCAGATAGCAATGCCCATTCACTCCACCGAAGGTGCCCGAAACGAGCGAGACGCGCCGGCAGTAAAAAAAAACTCAGGCCATAGACCAAGGGATAACGGGTTAACTAGTCCAGTATTAGTAGCACTATGCAATACCCGATCCCCTGGTCCTTGACCGGCATGCGATAGATCCACAGTGGGCTGGGCACGTGGCTCCGTTGGCGCAGAGTTTCGTTTCGGGTCACTCGGGTCGCAGGAATGGCCATGGCTAGGTTCCTGAACTATGGTTTTTAGTAGACCAGCTGACAGCCCGGCCGTGAGCCTGATGACTTGATGGTTTGGTTTCCCCTCGAGCCAAGCGAGTCTCTTTATTTTGGTTAAACCACTGGATTTAGCCCGCTGCGAGTACTTTATTTCCAGCGGATCCTTGAGACGACTAGCAAGGCCTATGGCTTTCCTTCCTAAGCAACTAATGAAACTCTTTTGCCAACCACGCAGAATCCCAATGCCACTCCCAAACCATTGGTCCAGCCGGCGCTGGGTCCTAATGGTCAAGAGCAGCCGCAGCAGCTGGCTCCGCCGCCGGTTTCCAGTCCAGCTCCGGCCACGGTCACGCCCACGGCCCCGGCCGCTGCCCCAGCTCCAGCTTCTGTTCCAGTTCCATCGGCAGTTGCCGAGCCCATTGTTCCCCAGCTGCCCAAGCCGATCATTGTCAAGGTGGAGCCCACAGAGGAACCCGTCGAGCCGATTTCCATTGATCTGAGCGAAGACAATGGCAGTACTAGCACTGGCGGCAAGATACCCTTTAAGAAGATCTTCCAGAAGCGCAAGAAGTCTTCGGGTAAGACGATGTGAATTTATAGCGAGACAAAGAGAGAAAGCAACACAATTCCATTGCAGAGCGGACCCGGGACAAGAAGCAGCGCCAGAATCGGCAGCTGCGCAAGTCAATGCTACCGAAGAACGCCTTGATGGCTCTCAACGAGGTGAAGGGCGTGACTATCAGTGACTTCACCATCGACAGCAATCCTGATGGTGGCTTTACCGCCGTGGTTACCGTCAATTCGAATCAGTACGAGGGCAAGGGCCTCTCCAAGATGTCCGCCAAGAATGCAGCCTGTGAGAAGGCCTGGCGTGACTTTATCATTGCCAAAATGACACCGAAGAAGGCCAAGCTGCCGCCGGCAAGTAGCAGTGATGCCAACGGCGTTGAGCCCATGGACACGAACGAGGATGAGTCGGAGTCACCGGAGGATGATCTACCTATGCTGAATTTGGCTTCGTTTGCCATTTACAAATTGTTTTCTGAATGGGAGCGCGACGGTTATATCGTTCCCGAGATGCATCCGTCGGCGGCAAGTACATCTGTGCCAGCTGCTGGTGGCGATGCTGCCGCACCGCCGGCACCCGTGCCGCCTAAAGAGAAGAAGCCGCCAGTGCGAGCCGAGTTGCCTAACGGCTGGGAGAGTCTGCATCCAGCCACCATTCTTTGCATTGTACGTTTATCCCAGCTCCAAAACACCACACGAAAACCTAATCCAATTTCACTTACAGATGCGTCCCGGTGTCACCTACGTGGACTACGGCACCTCCGGCGACAAGCCGAACGTAATGCAACACCTTGGCATTGTGGTGGACGACCAGGAGTTCACCGCCAGCGGCCGTTCGAAGAAGATCGCTCGTCGCAACGTGGCCGTTAGTGTTTGCAACACGCTGTTTGGCACCAACTTTTCGTTCGAAAACCCTACAGCTTAGGCCCTGCTTGACAATTATGACACTTACTTGACTCTAGACCTAGCTTAATTTAATTAATTTAATATTATTTTTTGTCTTAAATTTTGATTAAATGTGTATTTGTATTCCAATTGTGTTCAAGTTTTACATTGATCATAGGAACCCCTTGTTTCAAAAGGCTGCAAAACGCGCAATAATCATATTTTACGTTATACACAGATTTTGACTATTAAACACTATAATTTATACATTTATTCCGACATGAATCGAATGTGATTCGAATAACTGACACAAAAACGAAATTATTTGTCAATTTTACAACAACAAAAAAGCTGAGGTGTATTTATTTAAGATATTAATAAAATGTATTTAAACAATATTCCAGGTTTCCAAGTTTTTTATTTTATGTATACAGGGTATTATAATTTCAGTAAACAACCATATTAAATTATGGATAAATAATTACATTTTAATAATGATTATCTATTTGTTTTACCATTAATAATTCTTATATATTTTTTTTATTAAAATAATAATTATTAATCAAAAAATAATCATTAGTTTTTAGTGTTATTTTTTTTCGAGATTTTGAGTGAAAAAATAATGTTAAAAACAAGCACAAACAGCTTTCCGAATTAAAATTAATACATATTTGGCCTAGTTATTAAATTTGTAAGCTTTAATTTTCTCTAAAATTATCATTATGGATAAAAATTGAACTATTTTTAATGATCTAATTGGAGACAGCAAGGGTATATAAACTTCGGCGTGACGAGGTTAGCTTTCTTTCTTGTTTTAATTTAATTTAAAAATTTGTAGTCGAAAATCGATAGTATCGATATCTTTAATTTCAACTTATCCGCTTTCCTGCCACACGGTCACACTGCAACAGCTGACAGCTGATTTTACGTTAGTTTTTCATAATCACAACGCAAAATGTCGAAATTACTAACCGAAATGGCAATGAACACGCTCCGCAACACACGCCTCGGCGCCCGCCAGCTGTAAGTAGTCCACGGATGACGAAGTGACCGCCATGAGTGTCGAACTATTTCCATTTTCAGAGCACGAAATTTTGCGGGCATTGCATCCACGCGTAACAATCCCGAACCGGCGCATCTGAAGCCTGGCTATGGCTATGCCCAGGGACACGAGCTCCTGCAGCAGCATCGGCAAATGCAGATTCCGCTGGCGGCCAGGCGCAGCATGTTTATCCAGACACAGGACACACCCAATCCGGAGAGTCTCAAGTTTCTGCCCGGCGTGGAAGTGCTCGGCAAGGGCAATACCTACGACTTTCCCAACGGGACCACTGCCCACGGCAGTCCACTAGGTGAGACTGCGGGCGTTTGGAGAGCTCCTAAAAATCTAACTGGAACCTATATTCTTTGTTTAACTTTAGCCAAACTTCTGTTCCGCGTGGAGGGAGTACGTGCCGTATTCTTTGGCGCCGACTTTATCACCATCTCAAAACAGGAGGGGGCCGAATGGAGCCTTATCAAGCCCGAGGTGTTTGCCGTCATCATGGATTTCTTTGCCAGCGGACTGCCCGTACTCCACGAGGCGCAGCCCAATGCCGACACCGAGATCCTTGAGGATGATGACGAGACAGTGATGATGATTAAGGAGCTGCTGGACACACGTATTCGACCCACTGTCCAGGAGGATGGTGGCGATATTGTCTTTATGGGCTACGAGGAGGGTGTCGTCAAGCTAAAGATGCAGGGCTCCTGCTCCTCGTGTCCCAGCTCCATTGTGACGCTGAAGAACGGTGTCCAGAATATGCTGCAGTTTTACATACCGGAGGTGGAGTCCGTAGAGCAGGTCTTTGACGATGCGGACAGGATGAATGACAGTGAGTTCGAGCGCTTCGAGCGCAATCTGAAGACCTTGAGGCAACAGGAGCCGAATGCGGCTGGAGCGGGAACGCCAGCTGGTGGCACCGGCGGCGGCGGTGGTCCAAATTAGTTTTCAGGAAAATCCTTTATATTCTAGTTATTTGCGTTGCTAATTTTTTAGTGAAACCCATACATACATATGTATATGTAGTTCTATAAAGTTGATTGTTTAAATAAATCTACGGCTTTAAGCATAAGTTGATTTGTGCCCAGTGTTGTTTTTATTCTAAATTAATATATATTTTTTATTATTTTTTTTTAAATATATTTTTAAGGGGAAATTCTATATGAAATGTATATTTACTCTTTTATATATATTTTTTTAATTTTAAAATTAATCTATCTTTTTATATATTCATTTTTTATATATATTTTTTTAAGGGAAATTCTAAATGCAATTTAAATTTAGTTGATGGCGTTGTTACTTTATTCATTTTTAGCTTAATTAATTCCAGACTAAGCAAGGTCAATAATTCGGGAATGCATCCCGAGGGCTGCGACGACGACCCAGTTTAACGCCCCCCCCAAGTGGGTCAATAAACCCGAGTCATTGCCATTGATTTCACAAGTCGCCCGTTTTTGGATGCCAACCATTGCCAGGCTACACCAAGTTAAATCAATAAGCTGGAAACCGCCCCCTCCTCTATTCCGGAAAGGAGCTTTGGGATTCCATCAGTTGAGATTCAAGAGCCACTCGGAGTAGACCGCGCGAATACGAGAGGATATTTTGTGGCGGATTATATCTACATTGCCTTCTATACCCGCACTTCCATGCTCTGCTGGGCCAACGAGGATCATTATCTGAGCCAACGCTATCCGAATCCCCAGCAGAAGGCACCCGAAACGCTCAAGAACGTGCTACTCCGCTCCAGTGTGCCGATAGTGAGTGCATCTGATCCCGGTAACGAGAACCGACACAACACCGGCACCATCAGCATCAGCATGGCACCGCTCAAGGGGCAGGAAGTTCTCAAGTTTCACAAGCACTCCTATCTCGAGAATCGCATCTTCGATCACCGCCTGGTCAAGGACAATCTGCTGGACAAGTGGCCCACCGCCGACTTGAATGAGTACAACGAGCGCAAGGACCACCGCAACCTAATGGAGTCCTATGTACCGGCCCCCAGTTCATAACACCCATTACTGCAAAAACCGTAACCACAAGCATATTCATTGCATATATGTACTCATATCAAATCGTGTTATATTCACTTGAATATTATGTATTTTCTTTTTTGTTTATGTACTTTGGCATTGTATATCCACTTTTTTGTTTTAAAACTTATTCATAATACTTTATTTTATATTATAGTTTATATATACATATATTTTTGTTATATTTGTGTCCAGCGGTATTCTTATTTAAAATTAATATCTTTTTTATATTTATAATTTATATTATATATTTTGTTAAGGGGAAATTCTAAATTAAATTTATAGTTTCTTTATGGCGTCGGAAAAGGCTACCATTTGTTACTTTATATTCATTCATTTTTAAGTTTCTAATATCTAGTTATTTACTATATTATGACAAGTAATATTTATATTTTCCACTATTTTCTTTATTTCTTTAAAACGCTCTGCCATTTCATAACAAAACTATATCATTTCGTGTAATGTAACCTTGCATTTAAAGGAAAAATCTTTTTTAGTTAGCAAAGGACTTTCCATTTAAAGTGATTTTAGGATTTTTAGGATCATAAATACCTATAATCAATATATTCTTTGAACAAACAAATTATAAACTTGGAAATTATACCAATCGGCTACAATTTGTACGATATTTCAATATAAAATGCTTAAATCTTAAATTTTTAATTATTAATTTTGTACATTTATTTATTTGCTCAAAGGAAAATTATTAATATTTTGGGTTAAAAATAAAATAGCACTACAAAAATAATGACATTTTTAGCAAAAAAAAATAATGATAACAAAATATGAATTGTTTTTTGAGCAAAAAAATATCGCAAAAAAAATAATCATAATTTTTTATGTCATTTTTCTGCTCGAAATATATTAATAAATTTTACGATTCTTTTTTATTTATTTTATTTTTATTTAATTGCTTAATAAATAATTTTTCGAATTTTGAGATAAAAGATAAATAATATGTAATAAGAAATAATGATAACAAAATATTAATTGTTTATTTAGCAAAAAAAATATTTAAAAAAAATAATCATAATTTTTAAGCGCGATTTTGATCAAAATCTATTTATAAAAAAAAAATTTTTTTTTTTTGAGCATTCTTTCGCTCTTTCGCTAAAAAATAAATAATATATTTTAAACTTTTTTTTTTTGTTGCTTAAAATATAAATAATTATTTTTTGAGCGATTAAACAAAACTCCTAAATTAAAATAAAATTTGTTAAATATATAAAATATAAAATGATAAAAATCAATAGATAATCATTAAACTTTGTTTTTTAATTTTTTTAGTCTGGTTAAGTCTGTTCCATTAGTTTTTAAGAGTAATCAAAGCAGGCCGGTGGTCCCTAACTTGGAGGCTTGTCACCTGCCCTGGCTTAGATCTCAAATCAGTAGTCTCTCAATCGCTTCGCACACGAGCTCGCTTCTGCATTAGTATCGGTTTTTTTTTCTTTCTTTAGAAACACGTAAAAAGTTCAAAGCCGTTTTTAGTCAAAATTCCAAGTGGCACAAATTTTTAGTTACCCTCACACACGTCCACTGCAAATCCCTGGTGATCCGCTTTCACGATGTCACACCATGGGGCGGGTGGCGACGAGTCCGGTTCGGGCGTTCCACAGACCACGGTCATGTATTCCCAATTGCAGCCATGGAGCCAAGCGGGCGCTCCGCCGTGCATGGAGCCCGTCACTGGGCCATCGATACCGCCGCGCGTAGGTGCCGCCTACGAGACGAACCAGAAGCATCCGTGGCGCCCGGCAATGGCCTATGAGCTTATCCAGGTTAAGCATCTGCCCGAGCAGCCGGTGACCAATCAGTTGACGAAGCAATGCTTCCTGCCCAAGGGCATGAAGACGGACGGCATGATATTTCCCAATTTGGTCATCGGATTCGATCGGAATCCCCAGCATGCCGCCCGGGCAGCTCTCTACACGCGGTATACCAGCAATGAGTGGTACAACAACAACCTGACCAAGTATTCCGAGTCCAATATGAATCGGTAAGAGTATAATTTAGAAAATTTTAATTTTCCATTTGAAATTTTTACTAAATTTGTAGTTGGTTTTTACGTATTTTTTAAGCACAAATCAATGCAAATATTACAACTTTTACAAACTTTAGTAATCTATCAGAGCGCATGCGCAACGATGCAGTGCGTCTGATGCGGGAGACGGACGAGAAGGCCACTTCTGGACAGCGGGATGCCGGCCGACGGCTGGGTGAACGTATCACAGATCTCACCTTTTGGCGAAACGAACTGAATGCCGAGCTGGAGAAGCTCATTGCCGAGATGTCCGACATCAATGAGCTGCAGCGGCAGTGCGGGAAGGCGCTGCTTGATCTGGAGATACCGCTGCACATAGCCCAGGAGTGCCTGTTCCATCGCGAGTCGCGGCAGGGTGGCGAGAAGGTCCACGACATCGTTGAGAAGGCCCTGTTGGTGGAGATCAACAATCTGCGCAATTCCCGAGAGCGGTTGGGTGGACTGCATGACAAGATCTCGAAGCAGGCTCTAGATTGTCGCGGCGCCCAGCATCTGCTCGAGGACGATGTGGCGCACAAGGAGTCCTCGCTGGGCATTGACTCCATGTGCCATCAGCTGAACAACTACAGTCGCGGCATCACCTATTACGGCGGCATCGAGAAGTTCGATCCATCGGTGAGCACCCAGGAGTCCTGGGCAATGGCCAGCAGCGAGCATGTTCGTCGGTAAGTTTATTTAGTTCCATTTCTGAGCCTTCTCTTAACGCGATCTATCACAGCTCTCAGGCGGAGCGAAAGAAGCTCTCGATGCTACGCAGCGACTCGCAGAGTGTGGTCAATTCGGTGGCCTCCACTGTCTGGGATTTCTGGAGCAACACCAACAACGCCTTCGATCGGCGCTCGCAGGAGATGGCAGACGCAAAGAATCGGGTACAATTGCATCTGCAGAAGGTGCAGCAGGAGCTTTTCGATATGGAAAAGCATCTGTTCCTGCTGCAGAAGGCCATCCAGGACAAGTCTGGGCCGTTGAAAGTGGCCCAAACCCGACTGGAGGCTCGTTCGCATCGCGAGGGTGTAGAATTGTGCAAGGATCATGCCCAGGACCGGCTCGTTCAGGAGGTCCAAGACATCCAGGGCACCGTGGAGACGCTTCACCACAAGCTTCAGGAGGCGGAGGCCGCCCACCAGTGTCTGCTGAAGACGCGCTGTTCCCTGGAGGTGGATCTGCGCAACAAGGTCAATGCGCTGTTTATCGATCGCGAGAAGTGCATGAGTCTGCGGCGCTCCTTCCCGGTCAACAACCTGATCAAGTATTGATCCAGGACTGGCTCCTGGCTGCATTCCGATGCCCAATGTAGTCCCGTTGCACCATCGCAGCACGCGCTTCTATCTACCGCACTGCATCTCACCAGATTTTAATAAATCGGAGACCAATGGTCCATTTTATGAAAGAAACTATGGCTTTAAAGTTTATTTATTTGGCCTGTAGTTACTACTAGTGGTGATAGTTTTAAGCGCAGTGGGGTAACAATCGATGGGCACTATCGATAAGAATTAATCATAAAATGATTTCCATTATAATTTTGGATAAATAAAATAAAAGTTATTAAAAATCCCAAAGTTTTATTATAAAATTATGTTTAAAACGTGTTTGCGTTCAAAAACATGTCAAGTCGACTCGATAGTCGATATCGATAGTCGGATTGTCGTCGGCAGGCCATCTCTACAAACAGCTGCCTTCTCTTTCGATTATCAGTGCTGAAAATTTATTAGTAAAATTATTAAAGAAAAAATTGGCCTAAAAGTGCTGTTTTAAGAAAAGAGGTTTGTCAATAACTTTAATTCAATAGATTGGGAACTATATCCAAGTGGCTGCGAGCCGCCAGATCGTGTAGTGTAAGCGTAAAGTACATTAGTAGCCGGCTGGATATGTTTTTATGGCATTAAAAACATTTCTGAAACACAAAGTGTTTCCTATATAACGGATATACCGAGTTATATGCGTGTATATAGACCGCTGCAGATGAGGGTTAATTAAAGGGTAAATCGGATAGCCATCACCATTTGACATGCATTTTCTGTTCGAACTCAGTTTAACCATTCTTTTTTCGGCCCTAACTCTGACGTGTACATTCTGGCAAACTTTACAGTTAAACGGGTTTGCCGCTGACAGCAATAAATAAAAAACAAATAAACTAATTTGGAAAGTCGGTAATTAATTAACCAGCATTTCTTGTATTCTTTAACCGTTTTTAGGTTAGCCAAAATGCGTCTAGCTCTTGGCCTCCTGGCCACGATCTGCGCCCTGGTTGTCCTGACCGATGGCGTTGATCCTGGCAACTTCAAGACCTGCGAGCAGAGCAGCTTCTGTCGGTGAGTAACATAGTTATATTTCCATTCCTATTTCCATTCCCTCATTTCCAGTTTCCATAAAAAAGTACAGTAAATGTACGGTATCTCTGTGGCACCTAACTGCATTTCTAGGTACTTTTTTGCGGGATATCTTTTACAATTTATAAGTTCTATAAATTTTGTATAAATTTTATCAATTATGGACTTGAATACCCTATCGACTCATCTTACAGACGCTCCCGGAAGGTACAGAGTGCGGGCAGCAAGTACGCCTTGATTCCGGGCACTTTAAACACCTACGCTGACTCACTGACCGCCGATTTGGTGAACAAGGAGAATCACCACCAGTTCGCCTTCAAGCTGGAGGCTTTGGTGGGCAGCACTTTTCGCCTGCAGATCGATGAGAAGCAGCCGCTACGTCCCCGATATCGCGTGGAGCACGCCTTGAAGGGCCAACCCCAGGCCGGACGCATTCGTGTCGAGCAGGAAACTGACGGTGAAATTGTGATAACATCCGAAAAGAATAAGGCTGTGATCCATGGCGATCCCTTCCGCATTGATTTCTATGAGAACGATGTGCTAGTGGTTTCCGTGAACGCCAAAAACTGGCTGTACTTTGAACATTTGCGCCAGAAGGCCCAGGAGCCGACACCGGATCCATCGGAGAATGAGAATCAGCAGGAGCAGGATGCCGCTGTGGAGACACCCAAGGTGGCGGATGCCATCGATGATCCCGGTGCATGGGAGGAGAACTTTAAGTCGCATCATGACTCCAAACCATACGGACCCGAGGCGGTGGCTCTGGATTTCTCATTCCCCGCCGCTGAGATTCTCTTTGGCATTCCGGAGCACGCCGATAGCTTTGTTCTGAAGTCTACTTCGGGCACGGATCCCTATCGCTTGTATAACCTGGACGTTTTCGAGTATATTGTGGATAGCAAGATGGCTCTGTATGGCGCAGTTCCGGTGATCTATGGCCATGGGTAAGTGTAACGCCTTTAACCTTTTCCCCCGATTTAATTTTAAAGCAAAATTCCTTTAAATCCTATTCAGACAGCAGCACACTGCCGGTGTTTACTGGCAAAATGCCGCCGAAACCTGGGTGGACATCCAGACAGCCGAGACGAATGTGGTCTCCTCGCTGGTGAACTTTGTGTCCGGCTCCCGGAAAACACCTCCGCCGGCCGCCCATTTCATGTCCGAATCGGGCATTGTGGATGCTTTCATTATGCTGGGCCCGAAGCCCATGGACACGTTCAGGCAGTATGCAGCTCTCACGGGTACCCACGAGCTGCCGCAGCTATTCTCGCTGGCCTACCACCAGAGCAGATGGAACTACAATGATGAGAGGGACGTGACCTCCGTTTCGGCAAAGTTTGACGAGTTCAACATACCGATGGACACCATGTGGCTGGATATTGAGTACACCGATGGCAAGCGCTACTTTACCTGGGACAAATTCAAGTTCCCCAATTCCCTGGCGATGATTAAGAACCTGACGGAGCTGGGGCGCCACTTAGTGGTGATCATTGATCCTCACATCAAGCGGGATAATGGTTACTTCTTCCATCAGGATTGCACGGAACGCGGATATTACATTAAGACGCGCGAGGGCAACGATTATGAGGGCTGGTGCTGGCCGGGATCGGCCAGTTATCCGGACTTTTTCAATCCCGTGGTCAGGGACTATTATGCCAGCCAGTATGCCCTAAACAAGTTCCAAACAGTCACCGCAGACGTGATGCTGTGGAACGACATGAACGAACCATCGGTGTTCAATGGCCCGGAGATAACGGCGCCCAAGGATCTGGTACACTATGGCAATTGGGAGCATCGCGATGTCCACAATCTGTACGGTCACATGCATCTGATGGGCTCGTTTGCCGGTCTTCAGCAGCGCGATCCCAACCAGCGACCCTTCATCCTCACTCGTTCTCATTTTGCTGGCTCTCAGCGTTACGCGGCCATTTGGACGGGTGACAATCTGGCAGACTGGAATCATTTGCAGTATTCGATCAAGATGTGTTTAACGGAGGCGGTCGCCGGTTTCTCCTTCTGCGGCGCCGATGTCGGCGGCTTCTTTGGCAATCCGGATAGCGAACTCCTGGAGCGTTGGTATCAAACGGGCATTTTCCTGCCCTTCTTCCGTGCCCACGCCCACATCGATACGAAGCGAAGGGAGCCATGGCTATTCCCCGAACGCACTCGCGAAATCATCCGGAATGCGGTGATCAAGCGGTACTCGTATCTGCCGCTGTGGTACACTGCCTTCTACGAGCTGGAGCTAACCGGTGAGCCCGTGATTCGGCCCCTGTTGGCCCACTATCCGCAGGACAAGGAGGCATTTGGCGTGGATAACCAATTGCTGGTGCAGGATCGCCTGCTCGTGCGGCCGGTCATGCAGCAGGGCGTCAGCAAGGTTGATGTCTACTTCCCGGCCATTGATGAGAAGAAGAACGGCGATTGGTGGTATGATGTGGACACTTATCAGCGGCAGGAGCGATCCGGTTACGTCTCGGTGCCGGTGGATGAGAACAAGGTAAGAGATACGAGTGGCTATAGTTCTTGATTGATTTCTTCAACCTCGTTTCGACAGATCCCTGTGTATCAGCGCGGCGGCAGCATTGTGCCCAAGAAGGAGCGCCAGCGTCGCGCCTCCACCTTGATGCTGCACGACCCGTACACCCTGATCATCTGCCTGGACCGGGAGGGCAAGGCATCTGGCTCCCTTTACCTGGATGACGAGAAGTCGTATGAGTACCGTCAGGGCAAGCGCATCCATACGATCTTTAATTTCGGCAACGGACAGCTGACCAATCGCTTTGAGGGCAATCCCAAATATAAGTCTGATGCCTGGATTGAGCGCATCGTCATTGCTGGCTTGGACAAGGTGCCGAGCAGTGCTAGCATTACGGTGAATGGCGTCACCCAGCAGCTGGAGGTACTGCCCCAGGAGCGGTCTGTCGTTGTGCGCAAGCCGGGCGTCAAGATGGACGTCGACTTTGCCCTCAAGCTCAACTATCAGTAGTCTGTAGCAGTAGTTTCCGTCGCCACGTATTAATGTTTGTGTGCTTTTCTCTTTTTTTGTTTAATAACCAAAATGTATAAGCACGGCTTTGAAAGGAACGAACTCATTCAGTGTCCACTTTTATGTAAATTCAAATTAAAGATTAGCTGCCTCCCAACAATACATAGTTGAGCTCCTGTCAGTGTCCCAACATTCTAAGAAACTAATTTGATTAGTGTTTCAATAAATATAAACGATTTTTTAAGATAAACTTTGTGTATTTTTTGTGGGAAATGAATGGAAAATCATTGAAATATATGAGATATTTTCCACATTATTTTTTATTTATTTATTTATAATTTTATTTTGTTTATTATTATATCTCATATTATTTTTTAGTTATTTATTTATTTAATTATTTAATTTTTTTTTATTAATATTGGTATTTTATTTATTATTATTAGGACTATTTTATATTCGATTTTTTTCAAAGGCCACTGAAATTCACTATGTAATTGTAAATATTTTTACAAATATTAATATAAAAGAAATAATAATAAATAATATATATTACAGAAATAAGTAAAGAAAAATATAAATTGGGCAAGAAATCCGATAATCGATCATTCCGATAATACCAAACATATTAATACATAATAATAATAAATAAAAGAAAGAGTATTGTCTTAAAAAATGTCAAGACCAAGGAATTTAATTACAACCTATTTATTAAATTTAATTTTAATATAATTAGTAGGATTATGTATTATGTAGCAGCAGTTATTTAAAGGCTAATGATATTCACTCAGTAATTTTAAATATTTTTACAAATATTTCTATAAAAGAAATAAAAATACCTTATATTTATTATTAATAAATAATAGTAATAAATTAAAGTAAGACAGATGGAAGTAAAGAAATGTTTAGATAAAATCAAGAAATTTCGTTCGTCTTAAATAAGAGTCGAGATTTAAAAATGTCTTGGCAATTACTAAATTAAATAAATACTAATAATATTATTAATAATAACAAAAATAATTAAATAATTTAATTACAAACTAAATAATTGCGTTGATTTACATACATATATACATAAGTATATAAAAATAACTTAAAAAAATAAAAGAAAAAAGAAATCGAATATTATTTGAATACTAACATATTAATTTTTTAGCATATTCATTTCACATTGCTGTGTTTTTTTTGTTTGCATAAGTATTTAGTTTCTGGTTGTTCCGCTGTTGGCCGTTATCAAAGTTATTTCAATTAAAACGGCCACATATACCCAAAGGCGGCAAGGGCTGAGAGAAAGAAAAGGGCCTGAATGCCGCGCTGACCTCTGACCCCTGGCCCAGGAACGGCCTTAGATGAATTTTCATAACATTTTTCATAACTTTTCGTTTCGGTTGAGCTTAAGAATGTTGTAAAAATATTTATGCGCTTGACTCTACGCCGCCCGCCGCCCACAGCCTTCCTTTCTTCGCACTTTCTCCAGCCTGGGCGCTCTTTCTCTGCGGTCAAATATATATATTTATATATATATGTATATGTTTGTATGTATTTATGCGGGGCTTCCCCCCTTTTCGGGCCATGTGAGCACTCGCATGTAAGTCAGCAAATTTTCCAGCAGCATAAGCATAATTATTTTTAATGCGCTCTGCACAAAATTTGAGTCCAAAAACCCGAAAAGGGGTTTCAGTGCAAAAAAAAGAAGAAATAATACACACACACACACACACAACAACAACAACAGCATGGAGATCCTTGGCATTTCTCTGGCATCCTTGGCTTCTTCATGTCCTTTTTTCAACAACCGCTATCGCTTTTTCCCCGCCCCCGCCCTAGAAACCAAGCACATTACATTGCGAAATTAGAAAATTAGCTGAGCTTTTAGTTGCCTTTTTTGCCCAAAAAACCCGATTATATGCTTAAAATCAAAAGGAAAATACAAAAATAGAGCTCCACAGGATTGTGTAATTAAATTGTTTTCCCTAAAAAATAAACAATAAAAAGCAATCCAAGATGCTGGATATTTCTAATTGCCTTCTTTGTGGCACAGAAAATGCAAAACTGTTGCCATTAACAGGCATTTCTTTAACTTACTTTAATTTATAAATTTAGTATACATTTTTTAATAAGAATAGTGTTGAAAATTCAACACGTTTTAAATAGTTTTATAAATCTATAATTTAGCTTTAAGTTTTACTTTATATTGTTTACTTGATTTTGTTGGCAAATATGTACATATGTATGTTCGGTACATATCGTACTTTTATAATATCAGTTCTTTTTTCTTTATTTTCGCTTTACATTTAAAACATTTTTGCGTGTTTGTTTTTAATTATATTTGGCTTTGAGTTTATTTAGCGCAGTTGTTGCTGCCATATTGCGGTGTTTAAAACTGTCACAAACTAACCAATCCCCGGAAACCCTTCTATATGTATACATACATGGTTTAAATGTGTTTGTGTGAGTGTGTGCAACATTGCAACATTGAATGCAATGTCAGCAATAGAACAAATGTCAGCGGCAATGTCTCGTCACCCATTATTTCAGGGCCCACATCCCGTTTTCCAGCTCAATCCCCAATCCCCGATTACGAACTTGGATGGCGACAGTTCTCTATGCTGGTGCACTGAAACAAATCTGTGAACAATAAATAATAAGAAAATTAGGTACTAGGGTATTTTTAAAAAGTTAAAATATTTTTATGAAGAAAAAAGGATATGTAGGCAGAAATAATATACAACAGCCGAGTCAATCTAGTCATTTTTCAAAGAAAAAAATATTTAAATAATTTTTAAACATTTCTTAAGGCGGGACATCTGAGTAACTTTTTTTAAAAATCGAAAACAATTTTTTTTGCTTAAAAAATACTTTAGGGTCTTAAAAATAACATATCAAAAGATAGAGTCCGGCAAAAGTTTCTAAGTGTCGAAATTTTCCATTATGCGGCGATGCCTCACATGTAATCATATACGATTTTAAAACTTTAAACGCGTTTTTCTCAAAACCACTTTTTTTGAGTTGGCCGAAAACATAACTCGAACAAATCTTAACCGATCGATCTGAAATTTTGACAGTATATCCAAAATACCTATGGCTATCGACGTACGTAGGATTTTTTTTTTGCTTACTTTTTTTTTATCAACAATTTTGTCACGTTTTTTTTTTTCATGAAAATTGAATATTTTATTTAATCACTCACCATTTTGCAAAAAATCAAAATATCGAAAAAATTTTACGTACGTCGAAAGCGGTTGAGATATAGAAACTAACAAAATTTGTTCTAGATCAAAAACTAAGGACGTTAGGTTTTCGGCCATGGACCCCTTTCAAAAAAATAGGGCCTACGAAGACATGCTGCACAGCCGCCATTTTGTTTTCGATTTATTAACAAAAAAAATTTATTTTGTATTTCACATCTAACATTATCAAACCTACTTTAGAATTTTTCGATTGCCTTTTTCATTTGGCCAAAAAAAATTCTAGAAAATGGGCTTTTTTTTTTTGCCAGTTACTCAGATGTCCCCCCTTAAAATTGACAAAAAATCTAAAAAAAAAAAGAATTAGTATTATTATGCTGATTTGTTAAACAAATAAAAACAAGCAAAGAAAAGGTTTCCAAATTAAAATTTATGATTGAGTTATGCAGTTTTTTTTTTAATTACAAAAATTATATTTCAATTCACCATTAAAATTTTAAATAATACAAAATCAATTTATGAATTTATATAAGCTTATTGAGCGTTTTTTCTCTGCGTGTAGAGGGTCCATGGTGTGTGCTGATGGGCCGGAATTGCTGGACGTGGTGCGTCTGCGGCTTAGGAATTATGTGCGTCATGCTCAGTTTTGTAACTTGTGTCATCGGCAAACATGCGCACAGTGGGTACGAAAATTACGTTGTTTGAGGTTACTTTACATCCTTTTTCATGTCCATAAAAATTATATTTAAGAACATATGCGACTATCGTGAATGGTTCAATAAATTTACATTTCTTTTAATGACTAACATTTTTTAACAATAAATTAAAAAGAATCGGTATAAGGCATATGTTTTAATATTAATATAATATAATAGTTATATGTAGCTTAATACAGATAACCAAATAATAATTAAAAAGTATATTATAAATATTAAGAATATAATTAAATAATTATCATATATATTTCTTACTCTTGACATTTAATTATTTTCACCACTGTGCCGTTTGATTTCGGCTTAGTATGTGAGCCAGAGAGAGTTGGCGAGATGCTGAGCGACAGAAAGGGGAAAAGTGAAGGAAAGAGAAAGGGAGCAATGCAACAGGGAGACCGAAAGAGACAGAGATAAGATACAAAGAGAGAGATAGAGAGAGAGAGAGAGAGACTGGCGGGATGGCGACAGCACTTGGCTGACTTGCTGACTGTCAAGTTAAGTGCGGATGCACACACGTAGTGGCCAGCCCCCACTGGTTCTCCCCCTAAACTCCTTCCATTTCGAAGGGGCGGGGGAAGGGTGGGCAAATCGGGGAGAGGGGCGCTAGTTTCGGAAGGATATCTCTCTGCCCGCAAAACACAGTAAAACGCGCGCATATTTATAACGAAATGCTCAATTTAAATTCCCATCAATCTTGGTCGAATGCCACACACTCACACACTCTCTCTCTCTCTCTCTCACACACACACAGACAGATGCGTACACGTTCGGGATTTGGATTTTGGGATTCCCCGTTCTACTCCACACCATTTGCTTAAGCACTGAGGGAAATCATGGTTTAGGAGTATATTTTTTATTGGCATTTTTGTTATATTTGACAAACATCATAAATATATAAAACAATTGAAACCTTTTTTAACGTCTTTAAATATTTGTAACATATTTTTAAGTAAAAATATTTATAGTAATAAGTAATCACAAATATGGTCATACTGTTTTAAAAAATTAATACTTTAACTTATTTACAGGGTCTCTTGCATATTTAAATAGAAAATACAACTAATAATTAACCATATTGAAATATATTCTTTTTTTCAAGAAATTTATTTTAGGTATCATATTTTTGCTCAGTGTAAGCCGCATTCAAATAGATGTAGTCGAGGACCTCTCTTTCCCTCTTTTTGCTGCCTTGTAAGACTGCGTTTTAAGTCAGCAAAAAGAAGCAAATTTTTTTACGCGCACCAAACAAAAAAAAAAAGTGGAAAAGAAAACAAAAAAAAAACTAGAATGGAAAACCAAAACGAAGCGCGGCAAAAGCTTATTGAGCGTTAAATTAAAAAATTCTTATGGAA